TAAAAATTCTAGTTGAAAACTAAGTAAAAAATTTTAGTGTTCTTTGATTAGGCAAAGATTTCTCTGATAGAACATAAAAAACACAAGCCAAAGAAAAAAGAATCGATAAATTTGACTTCATCAAAATTTAAAGCTCTTCCTCTCTTCAAAAGACACTATTAAGGGATGCCAGGCTGGCTCAGTTGGTAGGGCATGCGACTCTTGATCTCAGGGTCATAAGTTCGAGCCCCACATTGGGTGTGGAGCCTACTTAAAAAAATAAATAAATACTGTTAAGCAGAAGCCACTGATTGGGAGAAATGTAAAACAAATATATGAAACAGATTTGTCTTGAAAATATACAAGGTACTCTCAAAACAATAAGAAAATGAAAAACTTGATATAAAATATCAACAAAATTAGCAAACCTTTATCTAGATTGACCAAGAAAAAAGAGAAGACTCAAATTACTACAATCAAGAATGAAAGAGGCAATATTACTACTGATTTAACAAATCAGATTATAAAGGAATACTATGAACAACTATATGCCTAAAAAGTAATTCCGATGAAATGGGCAAATTCCTAGAACTTCACAAGTATTGAAACTTACTCAAGAAGAAATACAAAATATGAATAGACCTATAACAAAGAGAATGAATTAGTAGTTTTTTAACTATTTAAGAGAAATGACAGGGGTGCCTGGATGGCTCAGTTGGTTAAGCATCTGCCTTCAGCTCAGGTCTCGATCCCAGGATCTTGGGACTGAGCCCCACATTGTGCTCCCTGCTCAGTGGAGAGCCTGCTTCTCCCTCTCTCTCTGACCCCACCCTTGCTTGTGCTCTCTTTCTCTCACTTGCTCTATCTCAAATAAATAAAATCTTGAAAAAAAACCTTTTTTTTACTGTATTAATCTTGAATCTTGATTTATTTAGTAGTATAATAAGTTTTTAAAAAGTATATTTCAGGGGCACCTGGGTGGCACAGTCAGTTAAGCGTCCAATTCTTGGTTTCAGCTCAGGTCATGATCCCAGAGTCCCGGGATGGAGCCCCACATCGGGCTCTCTGCTCAGCAGGGAGCCTCCTTCACCCTCTCCCTCTGCCTGTCGCTCCCCCTGCTTGTGCTCTATCTCTCTCTGTCAAATAAATAAATAAAATCTTTAAAAATAAACAAATAAATAAAATCTTAAAAAACAAAAATAAAGACATTAAGAAGACATAAGTAAATGAAAGACATCCCATGTTCATGGATTATAAGACTTATTGTTAAGATAGTAATACTTGCCCACTGATCTACAGATTTATCCCAATCTATATCACAATCCTTGCTGGTTTCTTTGCAGAAATTGATAAGCTGATCCTAAAAATCATATAGAAATTCAAGGGACTCAGAATATCAATACAAAGTTGGAGAAGTCACATTTGCTCATTTACAAACTTATTACAAAGTGACATTAATCAAGACAGTGTAATCAAGATCTGCAACATATATATGTGCCACACAGTGTAGCCTAAGAATAGATCTGAAGGATCAATAGAGTAGAACTGAAAGACCAGAAATAAATCTTCACATTTATGGACAGTTCATTTTCTTCTACATGGTTGCTAAGAAAACTGAAGGTGGAAAGAACAATCCTTTTCACAAATGGTGCTGGCACACCTGGAAAACTACACACAAAAGAATGAAGATGGGGGCGCCTGGGTGGCTCAGTTGGTTAAGCGACTGCCTTCGGCTCAGGTCATGATCCTGGAGTCCCGGGATCGAGTCCCACATCGGGCTCCCTGCTCAGCGGGGAGTCTGCTTCTCCCTCTGACCCTCCCCTTCTCATACTCTCTCTCTCTCTCAAATAAATAAATAAAATCTTTAAAAAAAAAAAAAAAGAATGAAGATGGATCCCTTTCTTACACATATGTGAAAATTAACTCTTAAGAATCATAGACCTAAATGTAAGCGCTAAAACAATATAAAAGAAAACAGGAGTAAACCTTTGACCTTGGGCTATGCAAAGCCTTCTTAGGTAAAATAATAAAAGAAGTAACAAAAGAAAAAATAAATTGGACTTCATCAAAATTTTTTAAATTGTGTACTTCAAAAGACACCCTCAAATCTCAGTGTAGCTTCATCAATCATAACAAATACGTAACTTTTGTGAGATGCTGATAATGGGGGAGGCTGTCCATGTGTGCATGCAGGAAGCATATAGGGAATCTTCATACCTTCCTCTACCGTACTGTGAACCAAAAACTGCTCTAAAAAATAAAGTCTTTAAAAAAAAGATACTGGGCGCCTGGGTGGCTCAGTTGGTTAAGCGACTGCCTTCGGCTCAGGTCATGATCCCGGAGTCCTGGGATCAAGTCCCCCATCGGGCTCCCTGCTCGGCGGGGAGTCTGCTTCTACCTCTAACCCTACCCCCTCTTGCGCTCTCTCTCTCTCTCACTCTCTCTCTCTCAAATAAATAAATAAAATCTTTAAAAAAAATAAAAAAATAAAAATAAAAAAAAGATACCATCAGGGGCACCTGGCTGGCTCAGTCCGTAGAGCCTGTGACTCCTGATCTCAGAGTTGTGAGGTCAAGCCCCATGTTGGGCATAGAGTTTACGTTCAAAAAAAAAAAAAAAACACCATCAAGAAAGTGAAAAGATAGGGCGCCTGGGTGGCTCAGTCATTAAGCGTCTGCCTTCGGCTCAGGTCATGGTCCCAGGGTCCTGGGATCGAGCCCCACATCAGGCTCCCTGCTCTGCAGGAAGCCTGCTTCTTCCTCTCCCACTCCCCCTGCTTGTGTTCCCTTTCTCACTATGTCTCTCTCTGTCAAATAAATAAAATCTTAAAAAAAAAAAGAAAGAAAGTGAAAAGATAATCCACAAAATGGTAGAAAATATTTGCAAATCATAAATCTGATAACAGTCAAGTATCCAAAATATATAAATAATTCTCACAATTCAATCTTTTTTTTTTTTTAAGATTTTATTTATTTATTTGACAGAGACAGAGAAAGCAAGAGCAGGAACACAAGCAGTGGGAGAGGGAGAGCAGGCTTCCCATGGAGCAGGGAGCCCCATGCGAGCTCAATCCCAGGACCCTGGGATCATGACCTGAGCCCAAGGCAGACGCTTAATGACTGAGCCACTCAGGCACCCTCACAATTCAAACTTAAAAAGATATATAACCCAACTGAAAAATGGGACAGTAGATTTGAAGATATTTCTTCAAAGAAAATATATAAATGGCCAGTAAACACATGAAAAGAAGCACATCATTAGTCATTAGAGAAATGCAAATTAAAACCACCATGAGATACCACTTCACACCCGTTAAGATAGCTATTATTAAAAACAAACAAACAAAACCCCAGAAAGTAACAAGTGTTGGTGAGGATGTGAAGTTGAAACTAGCTAGTGTTAATGTGAAATGGTGCAACTGCCTTCAAAAACCTTTTGGCAGTTCCTCAAAGTGTTAATCATAAAGTATTATATGGCCCAGCAACTCCATTCCTAGGAATATACCTGAGAGGAATAAAAACACACATCCGTCCACACAAAAACTTATTGATGAATATTCACAGCAGCATGATTCATAATAGCCCCAAACTGGAAAAAAACCCAATCCAATGTCCATCAACAGATGAATGGGTAAATAAAAGTGATACACCCATAAAATTGAATATTATTTGGCCATAAAAACAATGAAGTACTGATACATGCTACAGTTTCACGGTGTATCTTGAAAACATAATGCTAAGTGAAAGAAGCCAGTCACAAAAGACTATATATTGAATGATTCCATTTATAAGAAATGTCCAGAACAAGCAAATATTTAAAGACAGTAGAGTAGTGGCTTTTCCAGGGCTGGGGCAGTTGAAGGAAAATGACAAGTGATTACTAATGGATAAGGGGTTTCTTTTTGGAGTGATGAAAATATTCTAAAATTGGTTGTGCTGGGGCACCTGGGTGGCTGTCAGTTAAGCATCTGACTTCAGCTCGGGTCATGATCTCTGGGTTATGAGATTGAGCCCCCAGATGGGCTTCCTGCTCAGTGGGGAGTCTGCTTGTCCCTCCCTACTCTCCCCTTCCCCTGCTGGAGCTCTCTCAAATAAATAAAATCTTAAATAAATAAAATTGGGACGCCTGGGTGGCTCAGTCAGTTAAGTGTCTGCCTTTGGCTCAGGTCATGGTCTCAGGGTCCTGGGATGGAGTCCCACCTCAGGCTCCCTGCTCAGTGGGAAGCCTGATTCTCCCTCTGTCTGCTGCTCCCCCTGCTTGTGCTTTCTCTTTCTGACAAATAAACAAAATCTTTAAAAAAATAAAAATAAAAATAACTGGTTGTGCTGATTACATAACTGAATTACTAAAAAATCAGAGCTGTATACTTTAAATTGTATGCTATGTGGATAAGAGCTAAATAAGGCTGTTAAATAATACACATCAGATTTGAAATGTACGTTTTTAAAGACATTCAGCACACATTTGTTATGCAATAGTTTACCAGCATAGCACATAGTGATGAAAACCAACTTCAGACTCATGTCTTACTTATTTTAAAGATTTTATTTATTTATTTGACAGAAAAGAGAGTGAGCACAAGCAAGGGGAGCAGGAGAAGCAGGCTCCCCACTGAGCAGGGGGCTCGATGCCAGGACCCTGGTATCACGACCTGAACTGAAGGCAAACACTTAACCGACTGAGTCACCCAGGCGCCGGGACTCGTCTTTTTTAAATAAAAATTTTATATGCATGCATTCAAAGTTCTGCTTTCTGGAAAAGTCTGACAAAGAAAATAGAGTTAAAGTTTTTCTAGGGGTAAAGTTTTGAAATATTTTTAGGGTAAAGAAGGCTATTTTAAATAGTTCAAAGTTTAAAAAAAAAAAACTATTTTTGGTTTCCAAAGCTACTGAATATGCTAGATAGTAGGCAAACTGACTTTAAAGCTATAAATATATTAATCTCTTATGATAATCTTAAATCCCCCGAGGATCTAACATGCACACAGCATTGATCTTGTTCTAAGTCTGGTTTTCCATTTGTGTAGGTTATGCTTCCTTGGGGAAGTGGGCGGTTAAGGGAAATGTGGGCTGGATCTGGAGAAAAGGAAGAATAAAGGAAGTCTGCTACTGTGAAGAAGGGGCTCATTAGCTTGTTTCTAATCCAGAGAAATCTTTAAATCCTGCCAAGTTTCTGGACCACCACGAAGTCCCTTCAGTTACTTCAAGGACGTCGGACATTAGAAAATACTATCAAAATCACTTCCCCCAGGTAAAGAAGCTATTGACTTGGCACGTTCCGGGGGGGCTGGTGGGAGCTAGGGCCCGTCTCCGGAAATCCACGGGGCTCGTTCCCAGCAGCAGCTCTCCAGGCCCCCTCCTGTTCCTTCCCACTGCCACGCCTTTGCCCCAGCAGTTCGTCTCGCCCGCAAAGCCCTCCTCATTTCTTGCACGGAAAGCCTGCTTTCCCGGTCCACCTACACCGCAGACCTTCAGTTCGCATCCAGCTTCCTCTTACGGGACCCCTGGACACTTCGTGTTTCAGCCATCTCATTTCTACCTTTACTGACGCATACACGGGCTTGTCCTAAGGCTCGCGCTACCATTTCTAATTCGGTCACTCGTAGTGGGCAAATCTTGGGACCTGCAGCTGGACGGAGCCTGCGGCGGGCGCGGGGGGGCCGCGGAGGCGTCCCAGACGACGCCGGGGGCCACGGCGGCCTCGCCCCTCCTTCCGGTCCGGGCGGCGCGCGCGGTCACGTGGCTGGAGGGCGGCGGCGCGCGCGGCGTAGACGCTCGGCGCCAGGTGAGCGCGCTGGGTGGGGTGGGGTGGGGTGGGGTGGGGTGGGGGGCGGGGGCGGCGGGGGTTCTACGCGCCGGGTCGGAGTCTGGGATCCCGTCCCCGCGATCGGCGCTGCGGAGGTGCGGGGCCAGGCGCGGCAGGTGGGGACGGCCGGGGGACGGGGAGGCCCACGGGCCCGGGCTGCGCGGATTCGTGGAAACTCGGCAGGTTGTGGACAAGCTGGCACACCGGCTACTTTTGCCCTAACCGCTAGTTTAATGGCCTTTTCTCACGTTGAAAAAATAAGGAATAGATTTGAAAGATTCTGTTTCTGCTTTCCGCCCCCCTCCTCCTTTATTTTTCCTATTAGTGTTGAGCCTTAAAATTACAGCGCATTAAATGCAATGTAGTGTCCTGCAACAGAAAAAGGACATCAGTAGAAAAACTGAGGAAATCCTAATAAAGTTTGTAGTTTGGTTAATAGCATGTATCAATATTAACTTATTAATTATGATAAACGTACCCTAATATTAACAGAGGAGTCTCAGCAAAGGATATACAGGAACTCTCTGCACTGTCTTTGCAACGTAATGTAAATCTAAAGTTATTTTCACAGAAAGTTGAAAAATAAAATGCCAGAGAATGGTGTAACAAGCCATTGTTCACCAGGGAGGGCCCACATTAGTTCCTCTTTGTGGAACCTGCCAGGAATTAGGTATCTGTTTGACCAACCTGTTTGCTAGGGCAAGAGTTGTCAGGCTAGTGGGTGTGGATGCTTCTACTCCCAAGTTTTCTGGGCAGGAGTCTTTTTCTTTCAGTTCCGTCTATCACATTTCTGTGGATACTCCTTGCAGGAGGGGCATGTGTGATAAAAATGTCAGGAAGGACCATTAAAAAGGTACAGAGATGCCTGGCTGGCTCAGAAGAGCATGTGACATTGCATCTTGGGGTCGTGAGTTCGAGCCCCAGGTTGGGTGTAGAGATTACTTAAATAAAAACTTTAAAAAATGGGGCGCCTGGGTGGCTTAGTCATTAAGCGTCTGCCTTCAGGTCAGGTCATGATCCTGGGGTCCTGGGATCAAGTCCCACGTCGGGCTCCCTGCTCAGCGGGGAGCCTGCTTTTCCCTCTCCCACTCCCCCTGCTTGTGTTCCCTCTCTTGCTGTGTCTCTCTCTGTCAAAATAAATAAAATCTTAAAAAAAAAAAAAATTTTTTTTTTAAATGGGAGGCATGCTTGGCTCAGTCAGCTAATCATCTTACTCTTGGTTTCTGTTCAGGTCATGATCTCATGGATCATGAGATCGAGCCCTGTGTTCGGCTCCACACTCAGCGGGAGTCTGCTTGAAGATTCTCTCCCTCTGCCCCTCCTCCCACTTGCTCTCTGTCTCTCAATAAATCTTTTTTTTTTTTAATTTAAGATTTTATTTATTTATTTGACAGAGAGACACAGCGAGAGAGGGAACACAAGCAGGGGGGTGGGAGAGGGAGAAGCAGGCTTCCCGCGGAGCAGGGATCCCAATGCGGGGCTCGATCCCAGGACCCAGGGATCATGACCTGAGCCGAAGGCAGACGCTTAACGACTGAGCCACCCAGGCGCCCCAACTCTCGATAAATCTTAAAAAAATAAAAAGGTACAATACAGAGCTAGGGAGCTCAGAGGTAGGAGAAATCACGTCTGGCTCAGGAGTGTCAGGAGCGCTGCTGGAGGGAGTGGCTGTCATGAGCTGATGGGGACTTAGAGGAGAGAGCATTCCTGGCGTGGAGAAGAGCGCCGGCAGCGGCTTGAAGGTGACTGCACAGAGAAGGCCCGGGTGCAGGTGCAGTCCTTAATGGAAGCACAGAGCCTGTCCAGGGAGCAGTGACAGCTGAAATGGGAAGTAAAAACTGAAGTCTCATTGTAGATAACAGGGTGACACTTTAATTATATATGCCACAGGAGCCATGGAACATCTTAGGGTAAGAGAGGGTTATCACTAGATCTGTGCTTGGAGCAACAGTGTATAGGATGGCTTGGAGTAGAACAACTAGGGAACTATTGGTTTAGCCCAGGAGAGGTAATAAATTCAGCCAGGGCTGCAAAGTTAATATCCAAAGAAAGATATGGTTTGGGGAGATTTTGTGGGCCTAGAGGACTTGGTAACTGAAGGGATCAAGGAAAAGAGAACTTCCAAAGTTTTGGATCTGGGTGTTTTGGAGTATGAATGATACATATGCAGAAACAGAGGACCCAGGATGAGATCTTGGGTGGGGCGGGAGGGCATTGATTTCTTTTTTGAACAGCTGTGTTTGAATTGCTGGCAGGACATCCAGCTGGAAATGTGTTGTAATTGTGTTTAACATTTGAAGCCAAATGTACACAGCAGGGACGGAAAGAGGAAAAGGAGCCTGAGCAGGCCGGCAGGAGGCAGTCAGTCATTCCTGTGGGGCTGAAGGGCTAAGGTCACTGGGGGCCTGCTCGTAGCAAATCGGTAGTGTCACAGATTCTGCACAGGTGGGAGAGGCTGTGGAGCAAGCCTAGATCTCGGATTTAGCAATTAGGAAGTCAGTGGCCACTTTTCAGAGAGTTGTTTTAGTGCAGATGTAGGAAGATTGCTCATTGCCATCTGTTCATCCTATGGCCTCTCCCAAGTGACCAGAACACTGTGCCAGGAGCCAGAGATATGGCTTCTAAATATGGCCACTACCTGTGTAATTTTGGGAAAGTCATGTATAGCTGTACTAGCAAAGAAAAATAAAACTGGAAGAACCCTTTTATTCCTAGCAACAACAGTCCATTGAACTAGTGTTCTACAGGGCACACTGGGAAATGCTGATACAGAACCAGAATTTTAGAGCCTTAAAGAAACAAAAAACCATCTTATCCAATCCTCCCATTTAACAAAAAAACTGATACTCAAATTCTAAATCAATAAACATTGATTTCAAATACATCGATGGTACCCAAAACAACCCTATAAAGTAGTAATGCTTAAGCCCATTTTGGAGATTGGAAAACACGCTCCGAGAAGTTAAAGGACTTGCCCAAGATGATAGAGCAGCAAGTGGTGGAGTGAAATTTGAACTCAGACCTCCTGAGTCAGGGCCTTCTCTCTCACATATCCTGCTGCCTGCCTGGTTTTCAACTGGCTACTGGAACATTAGTAACTTAGAACATTTTCCCTTTTTTAGAAGGCATGTGTTCAAAAATAAAAAAATAAAATAAAAAAATAAAATAAATAAATAAATAAAAATAAAAAAAAAAGGGCGCCTGGGTGGCTCAGTTGGTTAAGCGACTGCCTTCGGCTCAGGTCATGATCCTGGAGTCCTGGGATCGAGTCCCGCATCGGGCTCCCTGCTCAGCAGGGAGCCTGCTTCTGCCTCTGACCCTCCCCCCTCTCATGTGCGCTCTCTCTCTCAGTCTCTCTGTCTCAAAAAAAATAAAAATAAATAAAAATAAAAATTAAAAAAAAAGAAGGCATGTGTTCTAAAAGTCGTTTAGTTTGACTTCATTACATATGAATATTAGTAAATAAAACATGAGAGAGTACACAGCTGGCCGTTCCCAAGTTATATTTTTAAAAACGGTAGAGTACTGGATCATGGGAAAGCTCATTATGTTCAGCTGTGAACAGCAGAAAGACAGAACGATGATACCTGATTTTATGTGGCACATTAAAAAATATTCTTAGCTAATCCTGCGGTTGCTTACTCTTTCCTCATGCTACTTTTTTCCTTTGTGTTGACCAATTCCATTTTCTCCACTGCTGGCTGCCCAGTCCTGATCACACCGTCCTTAACAGAGGTGTGAGATTGCATTTATAAGCAGGAATTTGTGATAGAGGTAAAACACAGCTTCTTAGGGAGTAATTTCCTGTCTATCTTGACAAGTAAAAATAGATAAACTTACTTATTTCAGAAAGGAGCCAAGATGATTTTATAAAAATTTGGGGGAAAAAATGACTTTTACTTTCAGTTCTGTTTGATGTCATAAATAATAGAAATGTGGTTTATTCTGATGTTAATTTCATTCACATTCCCAGAAAGCAGTGGCTAAGAGTGTCACAGTGTCTCTGACATGAGGGATCAGGATTCAAAATCTGGTTCTATCTCTTGTTAGCTATGTTACTTAACCTCTCTGTGCTTAAGTTTAATTATCTAGACTTAAACAATAACAGGAGTGTCTTGCAAAGTAAAGATTAAATAGAATAAGTAAAACACTTAAATAGTGCCTAGCACATAGAAATAAGCAACAAGTACTATTATTACATCACTGAAAAAGAACTGGAGCCGATTTAAAGCATCTAGTTTAATAATTTGCTTATCTAGGAGGGTTACAACTGATGAACACATTTCTCATCTTGTTCCCTAATCCAGTTAAAGATCCCTTATTCTTTTTTGTTTAAACATTTTTTCACATTCTTAAGGTATAATTTACATACAATAAAATGCACCATTGTAAGGATGATGAGTTTTGACAAACCATCACTCTGGTCAAGATAGAAGACTTTTCTATCACCCCCAAAAAGTTTGTTCATGCTCTCTGAAGGCAGCCTTTCACCCTAGGCAACCACTGATCTGTGTCTGTTATGTATATTAATTTGGCCAGGATTTCACACAGCATGTCTTCCTCTGTTTGCATAATGTCTCTAAGATACATCCACGTTGTCACATACATTAGAAATTCATTATTTATTGCTGAATATATTCTGTTGTATGGACTTACCACAGTTTGTTTTTCTGTTGATGGACATTTGGGTTATTTCCAGTTTGGGGCCAATTTGAGTAATGCTATGACCATTCATGCACACACCTTTGAGCATATGTTTTCATTTCCCTTGGGTAAATATCAAAAATGCAATTGCTGGATCACCTGTTTAAAAGAAACCGTCAAACTTTTCCATAGGGGTTGTACCATTTTATACCCCCGCCAACTGTGTATGTCCCCATCCACAGCAACACAGAATTGACAGTGGTATGTAACAGAATCTCATTAGAGTTTAAATCTACAATTCCCTGACAACTAATGATGAGCGTCTTTCTGTCCGTGTACCTTCTTTTATGATGTTATCTTTTCAAATCTGTAAGGGATTTTGCTTTCAAATATTGAAAATATATGGTACTGGGGCGCCTGGGTGGCTCAGTCCATTAGGCATCTGCCTTCGGCTCAGGTCATGATCACCGTCCCGGGTCCGGCTCCCTCTTCTGCAGGGAGTCTGCTTCTCCCTCTGCCTGCCGCTCCCCCTGCTTGTGCACTCACTCTCTCTCAAATAAATAAAATTAAAAAAAAAAAAAAAGTATAAAACAACAGAAACCCCTTCAAACATGGTCAGATTTATCTGGCATCTATGTGTGGTTTTCTTTTTTTTTTTTTTTTCCCAAGATTTTATTTATTTGAGAGAGAGAGAGAGAGAACACAGAGGGAGAGTGAGAGGAAGAAGCAGACTCCCTGCTGAGCAGGGAGCCCGATGTGGGACTCAATCCCGGGAGCCTGGGATCATGACCTGAGCTGAAGGCCAACACTTAAACGACTGAGCCACCCAGGCGCCCTATGTGTGGTTTTAATAGTGGAAGAATAAGAGAAACATCTCACTAAAAAAATGCAACACTTAGATTTAATTATTTTTTAAAGCCCTGGTAAGCAATTATGTAAACAGCAGGATATTTAGAAAAGATGTGAGATGTATTTTTTTTTTTTAATGAGTCTTGAGAAAAGGATGAGATGTTTCTAAACAACTGCATCAAAACAGCGCTTTTGAAATGCCTGGTGGCCAAAGTCCTTCTCAACCGTCCTCTGTGCAGGAGGAACAAGGCTGAGCAGTTAAGGTGCTCTCCAGCCACCAGGTAGGTGCCTACAGTGGTCAGTGGTCTCCCCACAGGGAGGGCTCAGTGGTGGGCACTGTATGGCATTTTATCTGGAGTGTTTTCTTCTGGGAAGAAGGGTAGGCACTTAGCTCCACGGTATGCAGGGTGGAGCCTTGCTGAGGTGACTGTTTTTATGCCGGACAGGCAAGTATTTCAGTTTGTTTGTTTATTCCTTCCTTCATTCACTTATTTAAGAAGTATTTCTTGAGTACCAGTTATGTCCCAGATACTGTCTTAGGCATTGGGAACGCAGTGATGATCCAAACAGACAAAATTTTCTATTCCGCTTAGGGCCATCTGGAGCAGGTCTGGACTCCGGCAGAGGAAAAGTTTCAGGTTGCCCTACTTTTGAGAGGCATCACAGGCCGGTCAGAACCAACTCCTACTTTCCTAGGCTCCCACTTTTGTACTCCCTTCCCCCTTTCGGTGGCATGATTAGAAAAATGAGTAAAATAGGGAGGGGTATGTTAGAAGGTCCTAAGTGCTAAGGGGCAAAATAAAGCAGAGAAGTGGGAGAAGGAGGAGTTGGCAATTTCAGACCCGGTGTCAGTCACGTAGGTGCCACTGAAGGAAAGACCCAAAGGAGGTGAAGAACCAGGTGAGCAACTGTCTGGGGAAGAGCATCCCAGGAGAACTGTGTCTTCATAGAAACAGAAGATGAACCAAGTAGAGCTAGAGGAGAGGCTCTAAGCACCGAGCCCCTGAAGTGCATGAAGGGCCATGAAGGGACAGAGGCGGGGTGGTCTCCATAGTCACTGCAAGTCCCCGTTTTCAGAGACTTCTTGAATTCTATATAGTTCTTCGCTTGTGAAAGCCATACCCTTTCTTCTCTTCCCTTGGCAAAAGCTGATCTGCTTTCTCCTGATCAGGAGATGGTTAGATTCAGTTAAAAGGTTTTCCTGCTTCCTTACAATTCACTGCAATCTTTGAAATAAGAGGTTGGATCTTCTCCGACCTAAAAGGCCCTTAAATGTTAAATAACTTGGACTGGATTGTAAGGGCTCTTTGTGTGCCAGTGCCTCGCTGGGATAGCCATGCCTGTACAATAGAGAAAGAAACTTTTCTCCCCACCAAAACCCAACTTTATTATACTGATGGTTTTTAAACTATTTCTCTGAATCACAGATAACAACCTGGTTTTCCTTATGTTAAATACGGCATCTGGCTGATGAGCAGGGTTGTGAGGCCGCCGAGTGAGGCAGAGGTGTGGACCTGGGAAACAGAGGACGATGACATGGCAGAAGGCGACTTAGGGTATGGCCTCGGAAGAAGGCCCGGCGGTATTTACGAAGTGCAAGTTTCACACCTACCGACATCAAGAAAAAGATCTGATGGCAAGAACTTCAGCCCGCCCCCACTTCCAGGAAAGGGGGAAGAAAGAAGTGGTGCCATTTTTCAGTATTCCAGGCATAAGAGCTTGCAAGATACATACCCCGCAGAGCCCAGAACTTCCCACTACACACGACAGAGTAGCAGTGGTAAGAATGCTTAGTGCCCTCTCCTTTCTCCTCCTCTCCTGTGAATTTCATCAATGCTTTCACCCTTCCAACACCAGATAATAGGTCACTGTAGTGTGTGGAAATTCATCTTTACTCAACCAACTACCACTTGGTGATAGTATAAAAGTAACCCATGTTTCTATTTCCAACTATTGTATGAATGGAGGAGTGTAGCAGTTATTCTGCATTAATACACATATGTTAGTGATATTGGTGATTACCTACCTTGCTTTTGTGTGTGTGTGATTTAGTGGTATGCGTCATCCATTTTTTTTTTTTAATTCAAGTATTTATTGGGTACCTCTTAGGTGCCAGGGGCTGTTCTAGGCTCTGGGAACATTAGTGAACAAAATAGTCTCCATGTCATGCAGTTCACATTCTAGTAGAGGAGTGAAAAAATTAATCTACTAGTCAACAGCTATGTAACATCAGGCAGTAGTAAGTGCAGGAACATTGAATATTTGGAGGGGTTGGCGCATGCTCTTTCAGGCAAGGGTCGGGGTACCTATCTAAGGAGGTGGCTTTTGAGCACCAGAATGAAATGATGTCCAGGCCTGGTACTTATCTGGGGAAGGTGTGTTCCAGGCAAAACATGTATGCTTCTAGTTATTTTACAAATGTCATGAAATCTTCCCCCTAAAAATTAATCTTTTTTAAAAGTAATCTCTACACTCAGTGTGGGTAGTGCAACCCAGAGATCAAGCGTTGCACGTTCCACCGACTGAGGCAGCCAGGTGCCCCTCGAAAAATTCATCTTAATTTATCAGAAAAAAAAATAAATTATGCCATATATTAAAAAAAGAATAAAATTCAGAATCACGGTGTGATAGAATGTTACAACTCCAAAATGGTTGGGAACCCAGGGGTGACTCCATGCCTACCTGGTGGCACAGCTCTTGTCTGGCTGAATCTTCTATAATCCATGTGGTAAAACTTCCCCCACGCAAGTGGAACAAACACAAATTAGAACAACATGAGAATAATTTAAGAAACATGGTTTTTAGATTTACAGAAAACATGCTGCAGATGCGGATCTTATCCCCCATCTTTCAAAATCCTTCTTGAAATTAGGACAGGATTATTTATATATTTTTCTTTCAGTTCCTATCATGCATAGAGGTTGGGTTCTGTTTTGCAAGCAAGATGTTGAAAACCGCACATATTGCTAAAATGCCTTTATAAGAACATGAGGAAACCACTGGGATATAAACAAAATGTAACAGTAAAAGTATGAGCTCCTGTCTTGTTGGGTTATGGACTTTTATCTTAAGTTAGCTTGATCCTACCTAAGGATATTGTATTGGTTTCTTGTCGCTAATAGGTAATTTCCAAATTACCACAAATTTATTGCCTTAAGATAACACAAATTTATTATCTTACAGTTCTGCAGGTCAGAAATCCAAAACAGGTTTTACTGGGCTAAAATCCAGAGGTCGGCAGAGCTGCGTTCCTTCTGGAGACTCTATTCCTGAGAATAGTATCCATTCCTGAGCCTTTTTCAGCTTCTAGAGCCCACCTACATTCCTTGGCTCGTGGCCACCTTCCTCCATCTTCAAAGCCAGCAATGGCTGGTCAAGTCTTTCTCATGCTGTTTCACCCTGACACTGACTTTCCTGCCTCCCTCTTTCATTCATAAGGACCCTTTGTTGAGTACAGTGGGGTCACCTGAATAATCAAGGATAATCTCCTACTCCTTAACTTAATCAAACAAAGTTCCTTTTGCCATGTATTCACAGGTTCTGGGGATTAAGATGTGGTCATCTTTAGGACCATTATTCTGCCTAGCACAAGTATTACTACAACAGAACTTGTCATTGCCAACCCAGTGTCACTTGTCTCTCCTTGGAGCCTTGTGCCATCAGAATAAAAACAAGATTTAGTTTTTGCCTCGGATACTGTCATACTGAAAGTTCAGAACAGCAAAGAAGATATTGTTTTGAGAAGTTTTTAATGTCCCTCAAAATACTCTTTCTAAAAAATCTTTTCTTCCTTTTACTTCTTCTTAGTCTTCTTGCTTGTAATTTACCACTTTCATGTTTTTCTATTGCCAGTGAGACCACAATGAAAAGGAAGCTCCTGGGAAGCTCAGTTTAATGTCTCAATTGATCACAGTAAGGAGAGAATAATTGAAGTTACAGGAGACTTCTAGTCATTCTCCTTGGAAAGAAATTAAATTCAGGTTATTTCTTAGATATTTCGTATCACTATATTGATCAAACTTAAGCCAAACCACCAAAGTTTATTTCACTGACCAATATTCATGTTTTTAAATACTGTTTTGTATGTAATAATTAACCAATTCATTAACAACAGTTTTATTAGAGAGTCCCTTTTTAAGGAGTATTTTTATTCAAAAGTATGTATCTTTTCATTTGTGCAATGTTTTAAGCTACCTATTTTTATCATTATGTGGCTTATTACAATTCTTTCCTCTTGACAAAAAATTGTATTTGATATTTTGTAAACAGATGTCCTGTATTCAACTGGTTAAAAAAAAAGTATTTGTTTTGTTTTGTTTTTTTTCCTAATAGATTCTAATTCAGAATTGTCAAATGTAGAATTAAAGCGACGTCTTCAGGATACTCTAGAGGTAAGTACTCCAGCTAATATAAAAATTCTCCTGTGAACAAAGCCCACTGATATTTTAAATAATGCTGGCTTTCCAGATATGCTCAGTGAGCCACAGTGTAAAGCTCATAACTTTCAACTGTCCTCCTCTATCTCTTATCTTCCTCATCTCTCAAGAAAGCTATTTACGTAAACAGGCCCTTCAGCTCGCCTTTCGCCCGGAACCTTTCACAAGAGAGTTACAGACTTCCCTCCATCTGTCTTCCCTGTGTGTATGGCTTGAAATAAACTGACTTAATTTAACCTCTTTGAAGTCAGAGGACAGCAGGCTTCCCAGGTGCTCTGAGTCCAGCCTGCTGCTGGGAGTAGGAGTATGTGTGCAAGGTCCCTATCTTTCCAGGAACAGGAAGACCGAATGTGAATTTGTAACTCTTCTGGTGAAAGCTACCGAGCTACCGTTCTGTTTTCTAGGGCTGCTATGTAGCAAAGCACCACCAACAGGTGGTTTGAAACTACAGAGATTTATTCTCTCTCAGTTCTGGAGGCTAGAAATCTGGAATCAAGATGTCAGTTGGCCATGTTCCCTCTGGAAGGTTGAGGAGAATCCTTCTTTGCCTCGTCCTAGCTTCTGGTGGTTGCCCCTGACATTCTTGGCATTCCTTGGCTTATAGCCACATCACTGCAGTCTTTGCCTCTCTTTTCACATGGCCTTCTCCCCTTTGTGTCTGTACCCAAACTTCCCTTGTCTTAGGACGTAAGTCATTGCATGAGGCCTACCCTAATCCAGTATGACCTCATCTTAATCTGATTATATCTGCAAAGACCCTGTCTCCAAATAAGGTCACATTCTTAGTACCAGGAGTTAGAATTTGGACAAAACTTTCCTTGGTGGGAAGGACATAATTCAACTGATGATAGCCACTAGCTCTGTGGGTGAGCACGTGCTTATTGTCGGTGCTGTAAAGATCATTTTCAGATTATTAGCTGTGTGGTCTGGAAGGGTAAAAGCAGGTCTGGGCTTTTAGTTACAATGGGTACCTGATGGTGAGAGTTTCAGTCTAAAGCCTGCCTGGGCCGCTTAGGAAGCCTGGAGGAATTCCCAGCCTCTTTTGTAAGGTCAGAGCGCTTAGGTTTAGAGCGCTTAGGTTCAGAGTGCTTGCTGAGTGTCAGAGTGTTGAGCTTACATGTAAAATATCCAAATTGATCATTTTGGGGGTTGCATATCTTACAGATATGTAGACTAATTTTACTTCTCCTCTCAGGAGGTAGAAATTTTAAAAACTGAACTTGAGGCATCTCAAAGACAACTAGAAGGTAAAGAGGAAGCACTAAAAATTCTTCAAAGCATGGTAAGAAGTTATTTTTAAATTTTGGTCACTTACACATTCCAATCATAGGTAGTATGGTTTTATCTTTTAAAACAAAAGCGTCAGTGCTTATTAATATAGGGTTTTTTTTTTTTGAGGTGCAGATTTTTAAAACAGTTTTATTGAGGTAAAATTTATATGCCATGGATTTCACTTGTTTTCAATGTACAACTTATTTTTGCTAACCTTAGAGTTGCATAACCATCACCATAATCTAATTTTGAATATTTTCAATATTCCCCAAAAGGAAGCTCTAACCCATTAGCAGTCATTCCCCATTCACATCCCCAACCCCAGACAACCACTAATCTCCTTACTGTCTTTTGGATTTGTCTTTTCTATTTCATGTAAATGGAATGATATAATATGTATCTGGATACCTTTAATTAACATGTTTTTGAGGCTCATGCATGGTGTGGCATGTGTCAGTACTTTCTTCCTTTTTATTGCCTAATATTCTATTGTATGGCTATGCCGTATTTTATTTATCCATTCACCATTTGATGGGCACTTACACTGTTTCCTCTTTTGGGCTCTGATGAATAACACTGCTTTATTTGTTCATGTGCCAGTCTTGTGTGGAAAGTTCATTCATTCATTCTCATACTCATCAGGAGAGTCAAACCAAGATCTTTTGACGTGTGAACTATCAAATTCTCTATAAAAGGTGGTCTCTATGGAAATTCTCTGGTTTTCTATCGTCTTAAAATAAAAATGTGAACCTTACTGTGCATATAGGAGTAATGAGAAATTTAATTTATACTGATGGGCTTCTTATTCTTCTTAGGCAATTTTTGGCAAAGCCACAAGTCACACCCAAATGATGCTGCAAAAAACTATGGAACAAAAGAGATCCTTGGAGAAGGTATTTGCCACTTTTAGTGTAGACTTGTTCAGTCCACCAAGCTTTCAAATAGAATTTCCTTTAAAAATCACCATACTAGATGGATATGTCATTTGCCCATACCCTCTTTTAGTTGGGCTTCTGTTTTATACAGTCCCTTCCCTTTTGGAGCTTACAATACAAAACATACTATTACACGGGCAAAGAATTAAGATTTCTTTTACTGCCTCATTTTAAGGTAGTAGGAGGCTTGCCAAGTTGACACTATTTTTCTTCTTTTTCCTTTTTTCTTTCTCCTCTTGCCTGGCAGAGCCTGCCTCTTTCTGACCATCTCATCGTCACTAAACGGTAGTTAGGAATCACCTTGGAAGGTCTTGTTCCTGTGCCTGTTGTAGCCTCTCTTGATGGCAGTGTCCTGGGCTCAAACTCCCGGGCACGTGTTTTGCTTGTGGTCTGTATGGGTTGGGGATGGGGCAATGAGAAATCCAGCTTCCGAGCAGCAAAATTTGAAGCTGTTTCTTATAATAAGCAAGCTTTGGCAAAGCTTTTCTTGAGTGCTAAAAAGGCATGTTACATGTGCTTACAAATGTCACAGACTCTTTTTGAACAATAATTAGTTTCTCTTTAACCTATCCCTTTAAGTGACTGATGATTTATTTCAGCTATTCACAGTGTCCTGAAGTGATCCGTAGTAATTTTCCATGAAAAGTGCTATTTTCTTTCTACAGGAAATAAATGCCCTGCAGTGGGAAATAGAGTTTGATCAGAATAGATTTAAAAATATAGAGGAATCATGGACCCAAAAATATGACAGGTTTGTATATTCTTATTCTATAGTTTTTCTTTGGAAATCTTTTTTTTTTAATTAAAAATTATTTATTTATTTGAGAGAGAGAATGAGAGAGAGAGAGTACATGAGAGGGGGGAGGGTCAGAGGGAGAAGCAGACTCCCTGCCGAGCAGGGAGCCCGATGTGGGATTCGATCCCGGGACTCCAGGATCATGACCTGAGCCGAAGGCAGTCGCTTAGCCAACTGAGCCACCCAGGTGCCTCTCTTTGGAAATCTTTGAAGTGTGTATAAGTTACCTGTATTTTTATTATTTTTAATATTTATTTATGTGAGTAATCTCTACTCCCAACATGGGGCTTGAACTCATGACCGCGAGATCATGACCTGAGCCGAAGGCAGACGCTTAATGACTGAGCCACCCAGGCGCCCCAAGGTTAGGGATTTTTAAGATCAGTATTTCCTGGGCATCTTGTGGGGGAGATGCTTTGAGATTATGTAGTTTATCAGATTTTCACCCACTAGTTTTTACATCCACAGATTATTCTGCCTGAAGCAATCATTACTGTGATGGTTGCCAAATGGTAATTTGCTAATTCTGTTACTTCTTCTGCATTTATTTGCTGGCATTTTACTATAGTAAAGAGCTTTTTTTCTCCATTTGTTTATACCAAAATGGATTCATGAATTCTTGCATTATTCAACTGGTTAAAAGCCATTACTATTGTAATTTCTTTTGTTGCTTAAAATTTTCCAATTTTGGGAGCGCCTGGTGGTGCAGTGGGTTAAACATCTGACTCTTTTTAGTTTCAGCTCAAGTCATAATCTCAGGGTTGTGAGACTGAGTCCTGCATCAGGCTCTGCACTCAGTGGGGAGTCTGCTTCAGATTCTTTCTCTCCCTCCCCTTCTGCCCTTCCCTCCTCCCCTGGGTGTGCGTGTGCTTTTGCTCTCTCTCTAAAAAAAATATATAAATCTTAAAAAAAATTTCCAACTCACTTTGCTTTCTGGTATAAGATATTGTAGGCTGTTATGCATAAAATATTAAGCATTTCTTCAGGGATCCCTGGTTCCTTTTAGTGGGGAATGGTGTTTAGAAATCAGGATCTTGGGATGCCTGGGTCGCTCAGTCGTTAAGCGTCTGCCTTCGGCTCAGGTCATGATCCCAGGATCCTGGGATCGAGCCCCGCATCGGGGTCCCTGCTCGGTGGGAAGCCTGCTTCTCCCTCTCCCGCTACCCCTGCTCGTGCTCCCTCTCTCGCTGTGTCTCTCTCTGTCAAATAAATAAAAATAAAATCTTAAAAAAAAAGAAATCAAGGTCTTAGTGCTAAGTGTGCTCATTGCTACTGGAAGTCATTGCTAAAAGGTCTCAGAGGACAGAGCTGGAAATACACACCCACACTGACACAGACCTAAACCTCTGTCTCTCTGTTCAAAACCCTGAGTTCAGACCCCTATCTCCAATTGCAGACCACCACCACAGCGTTAATTTTAGCCTTGCTCCTTGCCACATTTGTAACTTCCACAGTGAGAAACATGGCTCTTTTTACCCAATGTTTACTTATTCATTCTGTCATACAATATGCAGAAAGTAGCTTTAGAATTGCTAATATACACCATTACAGAATCAAACCTAGAGTTCAGTATTTGTTTATAGTTTTTTTTCTAGCCTGAGGAGATCCAGTCAATACACCGTGTTCAAAACTTGTTTAGTTTCTTGGGGCACCTGGATGGCTAAGTTGGTTGAGTGTCTGACTCCTGATTTCAGCTCAGGTCATGATCTCAGGGTCATGAGATTAAGCCCTGTGCCGGGCTCCATGCTCAGCGAGGAGTCTGCTTGAGTTTCTGTCCCTCTCCCTCTGCCCCGCCCCACCCCCTGTGCTTACTTGCGCTCTTTCAAATAAATAATTCTTTAAAAAAAATAAAACTTGTTTACTTTTTTCTCTTCAGTATGGTTATACTGTTCATTTAAGTTCATTTGTTTCTATCTATATTCGATCTTAGGTTTTTTTCACCATCCTTGTTGATTTAGTTATTCGTCTTTATTTTTGACCTTGTAAAACATTCCCATGCTTCCAAAAGTCAGAACTATGCTGAGAGGTATACTCAGAAATGTCATTTTCCCCCCATTCCCAACCTCCTGTCATCCTTCCTTTTCCTCACCATCTGTAGATAACCAGTCTATTTTCTGATTTATCCTTCCTGTGTTTCCTTTTGCACAAATGGGCATATATGTCTGTTCTCTTATTTCTCCTTCTTTCTTACACCAAAGAACAGTTGACTGTAGATAGTCTTTTAAACTGTTTTTTCTGTTTAACAATATATCCTGGAAACCAATCCATTGTGTGGATGTGCCATAGTGTATTCAACCATTCTCCTTGATAGGCACTTAGATTGTTTCCAGTATTTTGCAGTATAAACTATGTATCTTTTTATGCAAGTTCTTGGAGGTGGCCTAAGTTTATAGGTGGGGGTTAAGATGATTAAAACTTTAGTAAAGAAAATGAATATTTAAAAGGATGCCTCAGAGATACTTCTGATTCTTTTATTATTTTTATTTTTTTAAATCTTATATGAGAGAGAGCGTGATGAGCAGGGGCAAGAGGAGAGGGAGAAGCAGGCTCCCCACTGAGCAGGGAGCCCAATGCAGGGCTTGATCCCAGAACTGAGAGATCATGACCTGAGCCGAAGGCAGATGGCTCAACTGAGCCACCCAGGCGCCCCACTTTTTTTTTTTTTTTAAGATTTTACTTGTTTGAGAGAGTGTGTGTGTACACAAGCAGGGAGAGGGGGAGGGATAGAGGGAAAAGCAGACTCCCCATTAAGTGCAGAGCCCGACTTGGGTCTTGGTCCCAGGACCCTGAGATCATGACCTGAAGTCAAGATGCTTAACTGACTGAGCCACCCAGGTGTCCCTGATTCTCTCTTTTTTTTTTTAATTTTAATTAATTAAAGGGAGAGGGAGAAAGAGAATCTTAAGCAGGCTCCATGCCCAGCGTGGAGCCTGACATGGGGTTTGATATAACAACACTGAGGCTCATGACCTGAGCTGAAATCAAGGGTCGGACAGATGCTTAACCCACTGAGCTGCCCAGGCACCCCTATTAATTTTTATTTTAAGTAGACTCCACACCCAATATGGGGCCTGTACTCATGACCCTGAGATCAAGAGTCATATGCTCTACCCACTGAACCAGCCAGGCCCCCTCCCTTTTTATTATTTTATTATTTTTTAATTTGAGATACTTCGATTCTTTCTCAGCTAAATACACAGACAAATTAAAAGTATGTTCAAAATCTTACCACACTTTTTTTTTTTAAAGATTTTTATTTATTTATTTGACAGAGGGAGAGACAGCAAGAGCAGGAACACAAGCAGGGGGAGTGGGAGAGGGAGAAGCAGGCTTCCCGCCAAACAGGGAGCCTGATGTGGGGCTCGAACCAAGGACCCCGGGATCATGACCTGAGCCAAAGGCAGACGCTTAACCATCTGAGCCACCCAGGCGCCCCATTACCACACTCTTTTAAATTGTTTTTGTTTTGTGACACATATATGTTCTAGACTGTTTTGAAGTAGGAAAAATTTTATTTGGGTTTTTGTGTTCTAATTATGGGATAAAAATATTCTCATTCAACCATGAAGTGTTAATGTTTTAGTTATTTGGAGGGTACTTTTTTCCAGGCTAAACTGTGAAAATGCAGTCCTCCAAGAAACTTTAAATGTAAAAACAGAAGAAATTAAAATGCTCAAGTCGGAAAATGCACGTAAGTGAAGAGTGGTATTTTGATGATTCTTTAAAAATACTGTTACAAGATCATTTTTAAATAGAGTATCCTACGTTAAGAACATACATATTGATAGACAAAGTGCTATTATTTCAAAGTAATATGCTTTAAGGATAATAGAAGATATCCATCTTTTAGGGTTTTTGCAATTTAAAAACATTTTTAGGTGAAATTCAATTAACAAAATTAACCAACCATTCAAAAGTAAATAATTCATAACACCCACAATGTTTGCAACCATCTCGTTCCAAAAGATTTTCATCACTCCAAAATAAAACCCTATATCCATTAAGTATTTCTCCCCATTCTCCCTTTATCCTTTAGTTTTTATACTCCTTGTAAAACAAGATTGTAGAGCATCTGATGCTGAGGAACCTTAGTTGGTATATATTTTATTGGAATACTAGTAGTAACTGTGTAATTCAACATTACTTTCTCTCAAAAATATCTTTTGTGACTTTATTGCTAAGATTAATATTCTTAATTTTTCAAGATGACTCATTAAAAACTTGAAATTTCTTACATATATGTGTATACCTATATACCCTTTATGTAGTGAGCCATCTTATGACAAAAGTTAGTAAAAGAATAGTAAGGTGTTTTAAGAATATTAAGATGGCATCAACTTTTTATAAAATTTTAAGAGATGTTGGTTCTTCCTTCTTAGCAGAAACTGTTTTAAAGTAGTGGCTTGAAGGGGACAAAGTTCTAAATCATGTCATGGACCTGAGAGGGGCACTTTCTGTAGTTCAGTAAGTGTACTGTGGCAGGGTCCCTGGGTGAGAATTGCACACAGAAAGTGGTGCTTCCCAACACCAGTGATTCGAGCAGATGGGAGATCTCTCCTGTGTTAGGTTAGTTCAGGACAGAAGTTGCCCATAGCCACATCCCCTCCCCCTCTACCACCTCACCCTGCAACAAGAGAGGGAAAGTTACTATTTTCTGCTCAGTAGATCGCAGGACCCTTCTTGTTCTAAATGTTTGGTTGAGAGCCTCTTGTGAAAGCTCTTAACAGAAGTCCGATAAAGTTTGTATAGCTGGTACATTTGACGTTAAGGTAGGAGATCTCATCATCTGGTTGTCTTACTATCCAGCAAGTGCAAATAATTTGCATTTGTATGTTCTCTTTGAAAATCCTGCAAATTTTCTTTGAGCAAATGAAGACCAGACTTTGTTTGCAAAATTAAAATACTTCAACGTTAAAAACAGTCCTATTTAATCTAGTGTTATATATGTATTATCTCACTTGATACCTTTTTTCAGGATGGGGCCAGATGTAGTAGGTAATGTCTGTGTATATGCATTGCTTATAAGAAATGAGTGCATGATGCTGGTGTAACTCAACTGGGTGAGGCTGGAGTTAAATTTCATAACTAACACTCTGCTCTTTGGCCCTTCCTAGTTTTAAATCAACAGTATTTAGAGGCCCTCGCCATGCTTGATGTCAAACAGCAGATGGTGGCTCCGGAAAACGTGTGCCATGATAAAAGTGGTTTTACAGAGGTTTCAGGTCTTGAGGTAGGTAAGCAGGTAAGAAAATTGAACAAGAGGGAAGTTTTCTACTTTCCTTTTCCCCATCACCTGCTCCATGTTCTAGAATAGCATTATACTTAGCAGTTTGAGAGTGAGGGTAAGGAGAGGCCCATCGGTTTCCCCAGGGCAGTTCTTCAGCCTTACTGGCACCATGCCCGTCCATGCACTATATTCTTGGACACTAGAAGATGTGCGGGCCACCTCCTGCCCCTTTTATTTCTTATTTTTATAGCTTTAGCAGAAGCTGTGTTAGCTGTGTCTCACATTACATGATGATAGGTATTTTTTAGAAGTGGAAGGATGATGATTCTCCTGACGTATTAGAAATCATTCATCATTTCTGAGCATGCACCTCTCCCTGGTGGGAACTGGAAGGAGTAAATACTGGGCAGCAGGACCAAGCTCAGTCACAAGAAGTAACAGTGGGTGTTAATATTTACTTCATTAGGTCAAGTTGCTGCCAGGGATACAGAACTATACAAAACTGGTGCCCACTTAAAGGTTTTGGAGAAGGAAAAGCAAGGTAGAATTCCTTTAAGGTTTTGTTCCAAGTAGTAACATTGTTTCCTCATTTGTAATTTCCACTTGGATCTTGAAATCCTCCTCCCAGCTTTCTTTTAGTTTTTTCTTCTTTCCAGGTTCTTTGAATGATGCTTGAATAGAAATGTGTATGTGTGTGTGCGCCCTTATGTTTGTGTGCAGCTAGGCAGTACGGCACTTAGTAACAGGAATAATGCTTTTGGATTTGAAGCTTGCTGTCCTCGGAGCCTGCCTCTGCCATGGCCCTAGAGGGAGGCCCTGTGATTGTGCCAAAATGGCAGCGTCTGCTCGCGGAATGCTTCTTAAGCTCAAACAGGAGGTACTGTATTATCAAAACACTGAAGTTTTGGTTTTGTTTCTCTAGTAATAGAATAAAGGAAAATATCTGCAATAATTAGCTCATTTTGGTAGTCATTGGCTATGGAACTTATTTGTAGTTTTATGTGATAGAATTAACTTATAAATTTAATTTTATTTTTATTTACACGGTTCCAAAATACAAATAGTACCTGGCACAATATGGTGGCAACATAAAGTTGTTTGCCTCAGCTTGTACTTAACATTGCCTAAATTTTTCTTTTCTCTATAAATGGCCCTCAAAATTACTATATTGCACACTCATGCTTAAAATCACTAGGATCCACAACTCTGATAAATGGGGAGATAAACACGAAGCTTATTAGAAAAGCAGCAAGGTACAGTGGAAAGAACCTTTGTACCAGCCAGATCTAAGTTTAAGTCTTAGCTCTAGTATTTTCTAGCTGTGTGGGTTTGGATACACATTAGAGAGTAATAACTAGTTATTGCGCTGTTGCGATGATACAGAAGAAGCAGACATTTAATGTTTAGCACAGCGCCATGCAGATGCCTGGCATTTAATCAAACAGCGTTTGCCATTATCATTAGTTTTAATAACAAATACGGAACATGGACCATAATTTTAAAAATATTTTACCTTTATTGAAGAATGGAATTTTAAGTCTTCAGATATAGGAAAAATAACATAAACATTGGCAATTCATTAAGAAAAGCCTAAGATTACACAGATCAGAGTCAGGGTCAGCCATGGCGGACATGTAAAAAGTGATACTCGTAATTATTTTCAGTGATATTGCCTGGAATGGCCCAAGGCGGAACTGAAATGCAGCCTTTGGTGTCCTCCTTTCTTACTCTCTGGGCAGGACACACATAGGGCCTGCCTAGGGTAATGTGGTGAGGTCCAAGAAATGGATTAACAAGGAATGATCAGGCACCACAAGGGAAACGTCTGGTAATTTAGCTCAGAGTGGGCAGCTACTATAGAGGGTAATTAGCAAGTACTAATTAGTTTAAGCAGATGGACTAGATCAGACACTAGAACCATGCTTAGGCAGGGAGACTACATTTGCTAATCTGATTCAGTATTCAGGCAAGAATTGTTATGTTTTGCCTCTGACACCTCTCAAACTTTCTTTCAAAACTAGCTGGGACTTTTGCAGAAGAGTAAAGAAGAAGCTTACATAATGGCAGATGCATTCAGAATTGCATTTGAGCAACAATTAATGAGGAAAAATGACCAGGCACTGAGATGGACACAAATGGATAAAATGTATACAAAAGCAACAAAATGGATAAATTGGAAGCACCTTAAGGAGGATGGTAAATATGAGTTATAATGGCAATAATCAGGTGTAATTTTAGTTGTTTTTGGTAATAATCAAGTTGATTAAGCATAGTTAATGTAATGGAGAGTATAACTGAAATATCAAAGATAGTTGTGATTTATTACAGAATTTAGTAACTGTGGTTAAAAATGGGGTCACTGGATGTTACATATGCAGATGAGGTAATAGGATCACCAAAACCTTAAAATAACAGAATCTCTTTTTTACTATTCATCTGTCTCATTTAAACAAGACTACGTTTCGTGGGAAAACTTTGTAAAAATGCCAGATGAGTAAAGGGAAATTGCCTAGGAAGTAATAATGAAAATAGTGAGGGGCGCCTGGGTGGCTCAGTCGTTAAGCGTCTGCCTTCGGCTCAGGTCATGATCTCAGAGTCCTGGGATCGAGCCCCGCATCGGGCTCCTCGCTCTGCGGGAGGCCTGCTTCTCCCTCTCCCACTCCCCCTGCTTGTGTTCCCTCTCTCGCTGTGTCTATCTCTGTCAAATGAATAAATAAAATCTTAAAAAAAAAAAAATGAAAATAGTGAAACCCAACATTAAATGTATCTAATTAAACTTTGTTGAAATATGTAAAGAGATATTGAGGGGTAGAGGAAAATTTTTAAGTTGGAAATATTAATATTCATGGGGTGCCTGGGTGGCTCAGTTGGTTAAGTGACTGCTTTCGGCTCGGGTCATGATCCTGGAGTCCCAGGATGGAGTCCCGCATCAGGCTCCCCTCTGACCCTACCCCCTCTCATGCACTTTCTCTCTCAAATAAATAAATAAAATCTTAAAAAAAAAAAAAGAAATATTAATACTCATAAAAATGAAACAAGTTAAGGTTTAGGTTTTGGTTCACAAACCTATCAAAGTTCATGGCCATGGCCATTTTTTTAGTACTGTTGTACTAGTGGAAAACAAAATATATAAAAATGTCATCAAAGAATAAAATTACAGTTGAAGTATATCATCCAATATAATCAAAGTACCTGTTATTTTTTAGAAATGTTAGTTCCTCTAAATGGTCAGTATCAGTTTTTATTTATTAGTATTATTCAGTGCAACTTCTAGTGCTTCAATTTAAAATTCTAATTTGAAACCTTTTCTTATTCAAGAAAGATTACAGTGAAGTTTATAAGTTTAAATGTTATAATATTAAAATTCTGAGATGACTATATTTCTAAATATTTTTTAGTATGTCAAAATCCATAATCCTAATTCCAGTATCTCTCATTCTCAGATGAATTTGGGTTAATAAGAATCTTATATTAAAAATTAAACTTTTAATAATAGATACCTATTTTGCTTTAAATATTTTTTTTCAATAGTACATATTCCTAATAGCATACATGTTATGTGTTGTGAAATTTTAGCTTCATTAACTAAACTTTACCTGTCTCTTTGCTGAAATGGTAAAAAGTGCTAAGCTTACAGGGATAATAAAAATAGAAGCAGTACACAAGAAGTATGAAAGTAGGGGCGCCTGGGTGGCTCAGATGGTTAAGCATCTGCCTTCGGCTCAGGTCATGATCCCAGGGTCCTGGGATCGAGTCCCACATCGGGCTCCCGGCTCAGCAGGGAGCCTGCTTCTCCCTCTGACCCTCTCCCCTCATGCCGTTTCTCTCTCGCTCGCTCTCTAAAAAATAAATAAAATCTTAAAAAAAAAAAATAAGTATGAAAGTAGACAGAAGCAGATCATAAGAGTTACATATTGAGACTTTTCATCTGGGAGAAGTCAGGGAAACACAGGAAAACGTATTTCTCAACATTCATTCTTAAAGAGGCATTCCACACTGTCCTGAAATTAACTTTTAAAAAGTTTTCGGACATGAGACTTATAAAAGAAATCACTGAGCTGGCTAATATAATGTCTAAGTCCTTAACTATCATTTATGATAAATACAAAATCAGTATTTATATGACTGTTACTTATAATAATCCCTTAGTAAAAGCTGAAGGTATAACCTTAATGTCCAGCTCAAGGTAGGTGATTCTGCTAGGGAAATAAGCACAGTCCATATACTTAGACTTTTAGGAATCGATGGAAAATCTTTAGAGTATCTATCAAGGACAACAAATGTGTAGGTGATCTTCAGGCACCTCTTCTAAATTAGTCCCCCGATAGGAGTTGGGACTGCTCAATTTTCAAAGATACTGTCTTTGAGGATAGCCTTGGTGTTCTGTGACATAAACTAAAGGCAAACCCCTTTGGAAATCTGATCTTAACTGCTTGTTTTTACAGAAGGTAAGGAGAAAAGTTAGGGGAGAAAGAAAAGGGAAAGGCCTGGTTAATCCTAGGAAAGCAGCCACGTTCTTTCACCTGGCATAGTAGACCCAAGGGTGTGCATGGAAGTAGGCCACAAGGGTAGTGGTAGGTAGAAAAGGCTGGGTTTTTCCTAAGAGGTAGATTTGTATACATTCAGCACTTGAGTATGTATTCATTTCATATGCCAGAACTCCTGCCTTTCCTAGCTAATAAGGAACCTCAAGAAATTCTCCATAAAAAATATGATTTGATAGGTATAGCTCCTGATCTGTTTTCCATTAAGACCCTGAAGAGACTGGAAGCAGTAAAATAACTGATTCATCTCAGAAAGACCTTTACAAGTCCATACAAGTGTCAGTAGCTCTTTGTCAGTTTTTCAGTGATGAGACTGATTTTATTCATTTATTTCAATAATCTAAAGGTACAGGATGACTGTCACAGGTCATTTTCTTATATGTGGTTAACACGTTAAGAAGACATCAACTTTTGTCATTGATACGCAGCTTAGACGAGTTCTGAAAGATAGGTTATAAGCATATTTCTTTTTTTTAGACTGCCAAATAGACATTCATCCACTTGTCTGGCCTTTCTCCTTTTGCCACAGTTGCTGGAGGAAGAGGTCATGAGTGAGCTCGTCACTGCAGTTTATCAGGATTGGGTGTAAAGGGAAATGTCTCTTATCTGTTCTCAGTTTTCCATTAGACCATTTACAGAGCATTCCGAAGGCATTCTTGATGTTTTCTTTGTATAAATCCGCAATTTTTGTACCGTCTGCTATAAAACTGCATTCTTTCTATGAAGAACATCATCAGTGTACACATTTCAGGATGTGGCCTCTTAAACATTATGTCCATACCTGGGCTAGTTTTCACAACTGTGGCTATGTTATTTTTTAATTGTGATAAAATATATACATAAAATTTACCATTTTAACCATTTTTAAATATTCACATTTTTGTAACCATCACGACCATTCATCTCTACAACTTTTTCATCTTCCCAAACAGAAACTTTACCCATTAAACACTAACTGCCCACTCCCTTCTCCCAGCATCCCCCCTGCTCTATTATTTAATGGCACCGCAATCCTGAGGCATAGGTACTATTCTTCTTATTCTAGAGGTGAGGAAACAAAGCTCAGAGACCTTGTCCAAGGTCATTTAGTAAGTGGTTAAGTGAGGATTCAAGTCCAGGTCTTTCTGCTCTAAAACAGAATTTGCATGGTTCAGAGCCAGGTTTTGTTGGGTGTGCACAGTGTTCTCAAATAACAGGGGTGCGTAAGTGGCTGACATTCAACATTGGGAGATTTCACATACAAAACTGGATTGCTGCCTCCTCTGGAAAGCTGCTGATAATGTGGGCTGCATGCTGTCCCCAGGAGCAGCTGTACGATGAGACAGAGCGGCAGGCAGGGCATTGCACTGGGTCTTACACTGTGGCCCTCTCAACCTCCGTTTGCCATCCTGGCTCTAAAGTCTGTGTTCTCCCAGTACACACTGTGATGCCTGACTCACTAGAGGTCTCCTGAAGAGAACCACCTCCTGGCTGATTTACAAATGAATTATCCCTGGTTCATACTTACCTCTATTCCTGGAACTACATTAGTGAGTGTGTTTTTATGTCTCAGTTGGATGTGCATGTTCAATTTTAGGGTTACCATCACGAGGAAGTAAGAAGACCTTAGGGCAGAAACTGCTGGGGATGCTCCCTTCAGAAAACAGTTCTAAGAAGACCGATGACCAGAATAACCCTCAGGAGGTCTTTAAGATGCTAACAGAGTTGGTTAGTATCTTTGCTTTCCTTTTGTTAGAGGTTGTGGTTAAGTTAATCTTTCTGCTTCCTATTAATTAAACTCTTTTTTTTTAATTTAATTCTTTAGCACTCTATACTTGCCTTTTATGCCCTTTTCCCAGCTGAGGTACCATCCTCCAGTTTTGATCTTCATCTCCTTAAATTCCCTGCATGCTCTTCCCACTTCTCCCATCCATGTTCTTCCTGTACAAGTTTAAAGCTTCACTTCTGAAAAGAGGGGGCTCCCCTGTAATTAACTGCAGGCACCTCTGTCATCTGCATGTATGCATACAATCCATGCCACTCAGGAATTTTTAAGGTGTACAAGGCAACTTTCTCACACATTATATCCTTTAATCATCACTACAACCCTGAAAATCAGTCCTATTATCCCCATTTCATATATTACTAAACTAAAAGACCCATGCTATATGAACATACTTATCTATAGAAGTGTTCAAGTTATTCTCAAATAAATATATAAAAACAATTTCACATATAAATAACTTCAACATTCTCTTGCAGAGGTAAGTACATGTTAATATTATATACACATAGGGCGCCTGGGTGGCTCAGTTGGTTAAGCGACTGCCTTCGGCTCAGGTCATGATCCTGGAGTCCCGAGATCGAGTCCCGCATCGGGCTCCCTGCTCGGCAGGGAGTCCGCTTCTCCCTCTGACCCTCCTCCCTCTCATGCTGTCTCTCATTCTCTCTGTCTCAAATAAATAAATAAAATCTTAAAAAAAAAAAATTATATACACATATATACACACACACCCCATGTATATGTTTTTCCCCTTTCTTCAGATGATCTACAAAAATTTCAGCAGAAGGAATGCTGCTTTCTGTTCTTCCTTTAAAAAAAAAGCCTCAGTAATGTGTACCGTATTATTTGGGAATCAGTAAACAATTATTTACATTGACTGACTTGACAGACTGAAGACAGAACATTTATTGACTAACTGGCGTATTTTTATTTAATCTTTTTTTTAAAAAGATTTATATATTTATTTTATAGAGAGAGCACATACAGGTTGGGGGGGGTAGAGGGCGAGAGAATCTCCAGCAGACTCCCCAGTGAGCGTGATGAGCACTGAACGTGGGGCTCGGCCTGATCTCATGACCCAAGCTGAAACCAAGACTCAGATGCTTAAATGACTGAGCCACCCAGGTACCCATAACTGGTATAATTTTAAATTTTTGTATATGCAGTTGAATGATAAAGAAGAAGCTCTGGCTCATCAAAGAAAAGTTAGTTACATGCTTGCTCGGGCACTGGAAGAGAGAGACACCACCTCAAATGAGAATAAAGAAAAAAGTCCCGTGAAAGACAATTTTCCATTAAAAAACCTCTGGGGGAAATCTTCAGAATTCCCTGAACTGCATGATCCTGTATTTTCAAGTGTTCAAATTTTAAATTCTGCGGGCTGCATTTGTTCAATCCAGCACCTTCACAGAGATCAAAACTGCACAAGAACTCTCAAAAGATCCTGTTCTTTGCCATCAAATATCATATTTTGAAAATAAACCAGTTGAAATCAGAACCAAGAGCTGTTTCTATCAAGAGACTTTAAAAAAGGACTTAACAAATGTTGCTACATCATTAGAAGTTGTGCAGCTTAAATACTCATTTTCTACAAGAAATTTATTAGTATTATGTTGACATATTTTATAAATTACATTACCATACCTTATTATATTTTCAGTATTTGCCAACATCTTAAAAACAACAAAATGATTTTTGAGAAAAATAGTTACTTACTTAGATTGACTAAAGGGATCTTTGACTGGCTTAAGTAACAATATAAATTAATGCTCTAAGAAGTAACAATGCCTAGGAGTGACTGAATGTTAATTTTTAGATTACATATATTTTGTTTTATTGTATTTTTCAGGATTTTTCATTTGCCACAGAAAGTTTAATAATTTCCTTAACTTCAATTAAAAAGTTATTATGGTGGGACTTTGGCAGAAGTATATTCAAAACATTGTTAGTTACCTTTATAGCTTCTTTTTTTGTTGGGGTGGTGACACTTTGTAGCCAGATCTACACATAATTCTAGCACTCACACCATTCTGATTTACCTTCTTGGTTTTGATGCTGAATTTTAAGCCATTTAATTTTTTCTTTCTTTCTATAAATGTTACATAGTAAAGATCTTTAATAACTTCTGGGAATGTTGCTATATTAATAACATCACATGTCAAAGGAACTGTATTACATTATCAGAAATTTTAATAAAACTTTTATCTAGTTATGATCTCTAGTAAAAAAAAAATACATACATGGCTTGGCTACGTTAACTACTACTTAAATAGATGAGGTAACAACAGGGTAAAATGAGGTAACAACGAAGTATAAACTATTGTTGTGTTAAAGCAACACCATTTAGTTGGAATTAATAAATATTAATAAAAGATGAAAACTTGGCAAATAAATTTTGCAAAAAGGAGTAATGATGAGGAACTAGTGTTACTAGATATTAAAAATGCATTGTCCTGGGGCACCTGGGTGGCTCAGTTGGTTGAGCGACTGCCTTGGGCTCAGGTCGTGATCCTGGGGTCCTGGGATCGAGTCCCTGCTCGGCGGGGAGTCTGCTTCTCCCTCTCCCGCTCCCCCCTCTTGTGCTCTTTCTCTCTCTCACTCTCTCTCTCAAATAAATAAATAAAATCTTTAAAAAAAAAAATGCATTGTCCTGATAGTAATATAAAGCTACGTTATTTAAAACAATGTGGTACCAGTAGGTCAATGGAACAGGATAAAGACCACACACAGATTTAATACATGTAATGATTTAATATGTGTAATGATTTAATATGAAATAAAAGGTAAGAAAAGGAAAGATTTGGTAATGCTCAACAATAACAAACCTGGAAGTGTAAAAAAAAAAAAAATCAAATAAAAAAGGTTCTTTTTTGGGCGCCTGGGTGGCTCAGTTGGTTAAGCGACTGCCTTCGGCTCAGGTCATGATCCTGGAGTCCCAGGATCGAGTCCCACATCGGGCTCCCTGCTCGGCAGGGAGTCTGCTTCTTCCTCTGACCCTCCTCCCTCTCATGCTCTCTGTCTCTCATTCTCTCTCTCTCAAATAAATAAATAAAATCTTTAAAAAAAAAAAAAAAAAGGTTCTTTTTTAATGTGTGTGTGTATAATATGTGTATATATATAAAATGCAAGTTCATATAAATTGATAAACTTTGGAACACTCTAACTGAAAAAGAATCTAAATCAACAGTTCACAAAAGGGATTACATATGGTTAGCAAATGTGAGGAGCTATTCAACCACAGTAGAAATTTTAAAAATGTAAATTAGAATGAGATACCAAATTAGCAAAGATCACAAAGATTATGTGAGTACTAGAAATGATGAGGTGAAACAGATCCTTTCATACAGTGTTGATGGGACTGTGTATATTTGAGACCCTGCATTCAATCTTGGGGGTATACACTCAGAAGTGAAACTGCTAGATCATATGAAAATGCTCTTTAAAAATTTTTAAGGAAAGGCCAAAGTTTTCCACAGCAGTGACACCATTTTACATTCCAACCGATAATGCACAAGGGTCCCAACTTCTCCACATCCTCATCAACACTTGTTATTTTCTGGGATTTGTTTTTTGTTTTTTTTTTATAGTAAAGATCCTAACTGGTATGAAGTGATATCTCATTGTGGTTTTGACTTGCATTTCCCTAATGATTAGTGATGTTGAGCATCTTTTCATGTGCTTATTGGCCATTTCTATATCATCTTTGGTGAAATGTCTATTCAAGTCCTTTGCCCATTTTTTAATATTTTTTTATTGTTGAGCTTTCTTATCAGATATATGATTTGCATCTTTTCACTCTGTGCTTATCACTCCTTTGATACATACAAGTTTTAAATCCTGATGTAGTCTATTTTGTCTTTTTAAAGAAAGCAGAGTTTTCTCTCTTGGTAGCAAAGAAACCAGATTCTAAGCACACCTGTTGGCTTATAGATGGAGAATACCATGTGACAAGGCATGTGGACTGCCTTAAGAAGCTGGGAAAGGCCTCTGGCTGACAGCTACCAGGACAAGAAGCACGTGCATTAAAATTACATGAAATGAATGAGTTTGGAAGCCAATTCTTCCCTAGAAACTCAGATCAACTGACATCTTGATTTTGACCTATGCAAAAAACACAGTTGGGCCAGGTCAGACATCTGGCTTACAGAACTGTGAGCTAGTAAATTTGTGTTACTTTAAGCTGCTATATTTATGGTAATTTTTATACAGAACAAGAAAAATAACAGTCCATAAAGCATGAGTATGTAGTGTTATATACATAATATATATTTTTATATATTAAATGAATATTAAATAAACTAGATTTATATGTATTAACATGGAAGGAATTAAAGTTTTGAGTAAAAAAAATTATGAGATGTACAGCCTATCACTCATAAAATTTTGAGACCCAAAACAATATGGTGTATTATTACACGTATTTTTATAAAATAGCAGTATAAAATCATGGAAGGACACACTCATTTCCTAAGAGTCACTCTCCTTTCGGGAAGGTGAAAAGGAAAAGAATGGAATGACATATTAAAGGACCTCAATTTCATTTGTAATTTTTTCTTCTTTTTTTCCTATTTAGTATATTAACATTTGTTAACTCTAGGTAGGAGGTATATGCTACATTTCTACTCCTGCTTCAATTTTTGAATACTACCCCTGCTACTACAAATCTGTGGCCAGATCACCAAAGTAACTGATGATTATTTTTATTAAGGTTTCCTTAATGCATTTTCAATTCTACATTTCAGAGAATTGAACTTAATCTTACTTTTGCACTCTCATCAAAAAAATCAGAATTAAGTTTGTTTTAAAATACATTTAATAAAAATAATCCAGTTTTACATATTTTACATGTGTGGAATATTTACAAATTCCTTCTACAGCATTTACTAAACGTTTACTATTTCTCCATTATTTGCCTTGACTATTTCCTTCAGTAGTAAAATACTGTCCAGTGATCTCTGTAACTAAAAAATTAGCTTCTTGGGTAATCCTCCTAGGTGAAAAAAAAATGAGGTTGTTCACATTTAATCTTAACAGCAATTCTAACCAGTCACTGCATTCCAACTACATTCATTTTACTTGCTTTGATTTGCTAATAAGACTTATTTAACATTAAGCATACAGGATACCAGTAAAAATTTATGAAGAAAATAAGGTACATATTGGTAAGTTCTCGCAACTCTGAGGTATACTCAGAAGTGCCCATATCCTTTTAAAAAGCTTGATTTAATTATTTTCAGTGGAAACAAATAACACTAAAATACCACATTCTGTACCACACTTACGAAACAGCTCACAATCTACATTTCTTAGCTGCCCCTCGATCACTAGCTATATATGACCTACTTGGGAGTTTTCTGAATTCATTTCTTATGAAAATGAAAGTTTTACCTTGTTCCAAGGCCTGTGTTCTCTTCCGTTTTGTTGCTACAGCTGGATTTGACTGCTCCTTTAGAGTTTCCAATGGACAGTTTGGTCTTGGCAGCTGACATCCAGGTGTTGGCCCTGGCCGATTACTGAAATATTTAGTTTTCAATGCCTTGAAAAAGGAAACATACCAAGGAAAGTAGCATTTTAAGTGAGTATCTGAACCGTGTTTAAGGAAATCTAACCTCCAGGGGCGCCTGGGTGGCTCAGTCGTTAAGAGTCTGCCTTCGGCTCGGGTCATGATCCCAGGGTCCTGGGATCGAGCCCCGCATCGGGCTCCCTGCTTGGCTGGAAGCCTGCTTCTCCCTCTCCCACTCCCCCTGCTTGTGTTCCCTCTCTCACTAGATCTCCCTCTGTTCAAAAAAAATCTTAAAATCTACCCTCCAGAATTTTGGGAATATTAAAAACACTATGTGAATACCCCACTTCCAAAACGAAATTAATTTCAAGAATTTAGATGAGCACATTACTACAAATAGACATAAAAGAGCTTAAGATCAGCTGATAATTCCATTACCATAAGAAAAAGACACTAAAGATTTTATTTGACAAAGCCAGAACACATTTTAAAAAATGTATTCTATCAAAATACAACTCACATAAGTTGTCACAACTAGTATTTTTCTATAAATTTCGAGTTTTACTATTAATGAAAACAACTTTCTAGATAATCTGACCTAGTCTCAAGTTTCTTATGATGGAGCTAATAAATATATGTGTATGGATGGAAAGGTAACGAGGTATTCTAATGGTAAAATATCTAGCATGTATGTATTAATGTAGCATCATGTACTGCAAAAAAGAGATGGCCTATAGAAATAAATGTAGTAAACAGTGATTTGGTAGTCTGTAATAAAATTAAGTGGAAAAAATCCACTTTGTATTCTTGGTATATTGTACATTAACATCATTTGTTAGATATGAAAACTTGTGACATTTCATTTTAATCAGTCTTACTTTATGAAGCCAAATCATTGTACTGTGATGCATTCCTTCATTTCCCTGCTCCAATTTTAAGTGTTTGTGACATTATCCTTTTTTGTTTTGTGCTTGTTTTGAAAACAAAGAAATTGGATTTTGCCCCCCAATCCACAGGGCTTTTATTTTTTTCTTTGGTAACATTTCTCCCTTCTTTTATAAGAGCAGATATTCTTGGTCTTCCTAATGTTTTCTGAGTTTGATTCTTATTTCCCTTAAACAAGGGTATCAGTATTTGTTCTATTTACAGTATCTTTCAATCTCTTGTAAGCATAAGTTGTATTAAGAACTATACGGGGTGCCTGGGTTGCTCAGTTGGTTGAGTGTCTGCCTTCAGCTCAGGTCATGATCCCGGGGTCCTGGGATCAGGCTGCATGTTGGGCTCTCTGCTCAGCAGGGAGCCTACTTCTCCCTCTCCCTCTGTCTACCGCTCTGCCTGCTTGTGCTCTCTCTGTCAAATAAATAAATAAAACCTTAAAACAAAAAACAAAACGAAAAAAACTATATGATTTTTGGGGTGCCTGGCTCGTTCAGTCACGAGAGCACACAGCTCTTGATCTCGGGGATTTGAGTTCGAGCCCCACATAGGGTGTAGAGATTACTTAAAAATAAAATCTTTAGGGCACCTGGGTGGCTCAGTCGTTAAGCGTCTGCCTTCGGCTCAGGTCATGATCCCAGGGTCCTGGGATTGAGTCCCGCATCGGGCTCCCTGCTCTGTGGGGAGCCTGCTTCTCCCTCTCCTCCCCACTTGTCCTCTCTATCTCACTATCTCTGTCTCTCTCTCAAATAAATAAAATCTAAAAAATAAAATAAAATAAAATAAATAAAATCTTTAAAAAAGAAAAGAACTGTATTATTTTCTTCCCCATTATCACTTTCTGACTATGACAATGATCAGGATGCATACTGGGACTGTATTTCATGGGGAAAAAAACCAAAACACTTTTGGCATTAGGCTAGCACAAACCTAATTGAAATAACCATTATCTTAACAAGTACAGAACCCTTATTTTTTCTTCTCTAGGTAAACTACTTGAAAGCCAATTAATTATGAAATAAATATATATTTATATGTTCCTTAACAAAAGTAAATTCTCCTGTTGTTATGTGTGCTTGATGTAATTTAATATCAGACTGAACAGCTTGTAGCCTGGGGACAAGATAAAATTTGTTATTCCTTAAAACAAAAACACATCTTTACAGTACTTAAAGAATGTTAGAATATCTTAAGAAATTCTACTTTTATCTATGCCAGAATTAAGATTATCCTCATATTTCCTAATATAAGAAAGATATGCTAAAATACCTGTGTTGCTGTAATTCGAGTACATGGGTTAAATAAGAATAAGCCTTGTATGAGATCTAGCAAGTCGTCTCCTGCTGCAATGAAGATGTGTTGTAACGGGATTCCAGGAAAACTCTTAAATGTCACGAAATCTGGAAGACTACACATGTCCTGTAAAAATATTTATAATTCAAACTTAAGGATTGAAAGGCATATAGTTCTGAAATGAAGAACTAAAACTGTCAAATGGAGAATGTAATGATTTCCATTGAATTGCTGTGCACCATTGTCAGAAATCATTTGGTCAGATTCAGTGGCCATCCGGGGCACTGGACTTTCCATCCTGGAACCATGGCCCAGTTTGTTCATAATCTTGTGGAGAAGACCTGGTGTTGTGAACGCTGCTATGACTTACTTCAAAACTTTGATTGACCACATTTTGGCACTATGGCAAGGTTGAACTGGTTCCTCTAACACCTGCTGAGATTCCTATAGCTATTCAGAGCTTGAAAAAATTTTTACCACAGTTTCAATCAGAAGGTAGAGTCTGATTAAAATTTCTCTTTTCTAGTATTTATTCTCAGGAGATGGGCTGTAATAGGGTTAGGAAAATCTAAAGGTTTACAATTTTAATTTAAGAATAAACAAATGAGGGGTGCCTGAGTGGCTCAGTCAGTTAGGTGTCTGCCCTTGGCTCAGGTCATGATCTCAGGGTCCTGGGATGGAGTCCTGCATCAGGCTCCCTGCTCAGTGGGGAGTCTGCTTCTCCCTCTCTCTCTGTCCCTACCCCCGACCCCCTACCCCCTTCCTCGTGCTCTTTTTCTCAAATAAATAAAAATTTTAAGAATGAACAAGTGAGATTATCTTACTGAACTATAATATATAAAATTTAGCAACTTAAATTGGTGTAAATTTTACCCAAGATTTTTCTTTTTTGTAGACAAGGTAATGGGTTAAAAATATTCATGGTACTGAGACATCTTAACTGTTGGTGAAAATTCTATAAATACACCCTAAATCCACCGAGATGTTGATAAACATGAAATACCCATCAAATGAATTATCATGCAGCTGTTAAAAAGAAAAAGGTTAGTAATAAATATTAAGTAAAAAGAGCAAGTTGGTTGCAAAACAATTATATGGTATGATCCCATTTTTATTAAGACAAGACAGAAAATGCAACTCTATGTTTATGTGCTTGTATATGTATCCTCATAGCGAGACTTTCCACCAAATTGACAGTGATTAACCCTGGAATGGGAACTACTGGGATGGAGAAAGGGCAACATGTACAAAGAAGGCTGGACGGTATACCACAATTTTAACTTTCTATTTGATATAAATTTTTCAGAGTATATATTACTAGTAAATTAAGACAATGAATACATTTAAGTAATATCTACATGACATCAACATGAAGAATCCTAACTAAATTTCAAAGAACATGTATGAAGGCTTACAGGCCACTGTTCCTCAGTTGGTGTGCCCAAAGTTTCAAATATTCTTGTTAGTTGATCAAGGTCTGAATCTCCTGGCAAAAAAGGAACCTGAAAGAGTGAGATGCAGGTATTTCAAGGTGGTTTATAATAGTTACACAAATAATACTATAAATTTAATAAAAAACCTAAACTGTGGGGCACCTGGGTGGCTCAGTCGGTTAAGCATCTGCCTTCGGTTTAGGTCATGATCCCAAGGTCCTGGGATTGAGCCCTGCATCGGGCTCCCTGCTCAGCAGGAAGCCTGCTTCTCCCTCTCCCACTCCCCCTACTTGTGTTCCCTCTCTCGCTATGTCTCACTCTGGCTATTAAATAAATAAAATCTTAAAAAAAATACAAAACTAAACTGTTTAACAAAAATCAAAATGTAGTCTGAGGTATACTAGATGTGGCACTGGATCCTACCACTGCTAACCAAATAAAGAGCATCATGTTTCCCATTTTATTCACTCCAGAGATCTTTAATAAACACCATGTAATAGGTACTGTGCTAACTAATTAAACCCTAGGCATTTAAAGAGGGAACAAGACAAGGACACTTGGGTGGCTCAGTCAGGTGAGTGTCCAACTTTTGATCTCAGTTCAGGTCTTGATCTCAGGGTTGCAAGTTCAAGCCCCACACTGGGCTCCACATTGGGCATGGAGCATACTTAAAAAAAAGTGAACAAGACAGTCCTTGCTCTCCCATAGGGTGCATGTAGAGAATGCTGGTAATACAACTAAAGGGGCATCTGCCAGATGATGTTTTCAGTGAGAGCAGGATACTAGCATACACAGAACAGCACCTAGCCCACTCTAATAGGTCAAGGAAGGCTTCCTAGAGGAAGCAGCGGAGAAAGCTGAAAGATGAGAGTTAGCCAGAGGAAAAGTGTTAAGATGGAGGAAAACTATTCTAGCTAAAGTATAGGAGCAACGGTTGCCAGGCAGAAGAACATCTATATTACAATCTTATTTATTTTTTTTATTTAATTTTTATTTTATTTTTAAAGATTTTATTTATTTATTTGATAGAGAGAGAATGAGAGACAGAGAGCATGAGAGGGAAGAGGGTCAGAGGGAGAAGCAGACCCCCCGCTGAGCAGGGAGTTCGATGTGGGACTCGATCCAGGGACTCCAGGATCATGACCTGAGCCGAAGGCAGTCGCCCAACCAACTGAGCCACCCAGGCGCCCTACAATCTTATTTAAATAATATCTTGGCATACTATTTCTCTGAAGAGGTATAATGCAAACTTTAAAAGGAAAAGTGATTACAAGTTAAAAATTAGAAACTAATAAATAATTAAAATCCTTGCTATACACAGACATTATTTCCCAATTCATTCTCAAACATCTAAGTAAATACATAGGAGAGTAAAAAAGAGTTTGCTCTGTGAATAACAGAGGCCTTCCATACTGTTAGAGGCCTTGAGAAAGTTTATCAACTCAATGAGAAGATAAGATCAAGTACCAGCTTTCCAACATTTCTATTACTGTGGACCACTACCACCACCTCCACCAACCCCTGTCAAAAAAGCATTTAACTCTACCAGTTATCAATTTATTCCAAGCTCACCCTTTTTGCCTTTTCTGAGAAAACAGATGTGGACCTTTAAATGTGTTTCTTTTGGCAGCTGAAACATTATAGGAAGACTTCTGCTTCCTGGTTCTAGCTTATATGCCCAGTCGACTCCTGGGGCACTCTCAGCTTCTCTAGCAACAGGTTCCCATAACGGTGGGCACCTTCTTCAGTGCCCAGTGCACAGAGCCGCTTCCCTCTACAGAGGGTTGTGTAGCAGAGTGCCTCCAAAAAACCATCTCTCCCAGAATAGCTTTCCTCTGCATGTAAGAGGACAGATTTTCAACAAGTTCTGCCAACACAGCTCTACAGCAACTTCTCTATCATCCAGTGTGCCACATTGTGCCCTTTCCAAGGTCTCAGTCCCAGCGTCCTCTTCCTTGGGTGCTCTCAGTCCTAGGGTGGCTGCTCCTTTTGACCATTCATATATTCTTTAAAATATTCTCTTTGGGGCGCCTGGGTGGCTCAGTTGGTTAAGCGACTGCCTTCAGCTCAGGTCATGGTCCCGGAGTCCCGGGATCGAGTCCCACGTCGGGCTCCAAGCTCAGCAGGGAGCCTGCTTCTCCCTCTGACCCTCTCTCCTCTCATGCTGTTTCTCTCTCTCAAATAAATAAATAAATAAAATCTTTAAAAAAAAAAAAAAATATTCTCTTTGCTTGCTTTCTTTTTAAGATTTATTTATTTTAGCGAGAGACAGAACTTGCACTCGTGGGGGGGGCGGGTAGGCAGAGGGAGAGAGAGTCTTAAGCAGACTCAGTGCTGAGCACAGAGCCCAATACCTGAGATTGCAACCTGGCAGAAACCAGGAGTCAGACACTTAACCAAACGCACCACCCAAGAACCCCTCTCTTTACTTTTTATTAGTCAATCCTTCATTATTCCAACAGCTAATCATAGTTAACTCTTAATATTAAACTTCCCTCTTTAATATGTGGTTTCTATTTTCTGACTGGATCCAGATTTAATACAATCCCTATGTATAACACTGGACTATTATGTATATATGAAATGTGCACCCAAAAAAAGAAACCTGAAATTAACACTGCATGACTATTTTTAGGCATGCTAATATTTTCTTCTCATACTTCAGAAGATAATCTCCTACTCTGCAGACTACTAAAGTAAATTGTACTGTTAAGATCTGAAGAGGGGGGCCTGGGTGGCTCAATCGGTTAAGCATCTGCCTTCAGCTCAGGTCACGATTCCAGGTTCCTGGGATCGAGCCCCGTGCTGAGCTCCCTTTCCTTTTGCTCCCCTCTCCACTTGTGCTCTCTCAAATAAATAAATAAAATCTTAAAAAAAAAAGATCTGAAGAAAGGGACACTCATCATCATAGCCTTATAATTTTGTGGGCAAGCTGGCAATTTAATCAGATTTTAAGGATGGGTGTTTTAGTATGATGTAAAAAAAAAAAAATTTTTTTTTAGTATTTATTTATGTAATCTCTATACCCAATGTGGGGCTCAAACTCATGATCCTGAGATCAAGAGTCACACACTCCAAGGTGCCTGTGTGGCAGTCAGTTAAGTGTCCGACTCTTGGTTTCAGCTCAAGTTGTGATCTCAGGTTTGTGAGATCAAGCCCTGCATTGGGCTCTGCACTCAGCATGGAGTCTGCATGAGATTCTCTCTTTCCCTCTGCCCCTCCTGCTCATGCTGTCTCTCTAGATAAATCTTAAAAAAAAAAAAAAATCACACACTCCTCCAACTGAGCCAGTGAGGCGTCCCATGATGTAAAATCATGGATCTCAACTTGAATAAACCAACTATAAAAGACATTTATGAGAAAAAGTGGGAAATCTGAACACGGACTGGTACTGATTTATCATCCTTCCTTTTCTTGAGAGGATAATGGTATTGTAGTCATAATAAAAAAAATTCTTATCTTTTAGAGACATAGTAGTATGAAGAAAATAGCATATCTGGGATTTGTGGCAAAAAAAAAATGTGGTGTAAGAGAATTATAAAATAAAGCTGGTCATGTGTTAAAAACTGTTGAAGCTTATTGGTGGGCACACTGAGGCTCATTTTTCTCCCCAGAGACTCCCCTACTGAAACTCTCATCCCTTCTGCTTCAATCTGGACTAGTTGCTTTCTGGGCCTGATGCACACCTGCTTCCTCAGAACTTCCTTTCACTATTAAATGAGGAATTCTATTCACCCCTTTTCTGTACTCAATCTCATGTTCTTGGGATCCTACATCTTTCTTTTTTTTTTTTTTAAAGACTTTATTTATTGGAGAGAGAGAGGGACAGTGACAGAGAGCACACAGGTGGGGAGGAGAGGGAGAAGCAGGTTCCGCACTGAGCAGGGAGCCCAACGTGGGGCTCAATCCCAGGACTCTGGGATCATGACCTGAGCCAAAGGCAGATGGTTAACCTACTGAGCCACTCAGGCGCCCCTCGGGATCCCACATCTTTCTCTTGATTTACTGTCATGTAATAGTGAGCACAGCTTCCAATAAATTCCTAAGAAAGGAAGCAGATGTAAAATTTTTAGTGTTATAAATTGTATTTATTCTCAAAGCTAACTGAAAATACAAAAGGGCACAAAATTCTAGGTTGAAAATTATTTTCCTCCACAATGTGTTCTATTGTCTTCCAGATTTCAGTGTTACTATTGAGAAGTCAGATGCCATTCTTTTCCCTAATCCTTCATTATGGTTTCTATGTAAGCTCTCTGGTTTTCCTCTCTGTGGAAATAAAGTATTTTTCGTATACTCTGGTACCCTGAAATTTCACAATATGCCTTGGCATGGGTCTTTTTTCATTCACCGTGCAGTCTTTTTGGCACTTTAAGTCAATTCATATCCACCAATGCTGAGATATTGTCTTGTGAATTTCCTATCTTACATTTTCTTTGTTCTTTTTTGTTATATTCTAGGATCAATCCTGGATCAATCTGCTAGTTTTATTTTTTGGTCCTACTTGATGAAAGAATTCTTTAGCTAATTTTCCAATCTTTCCACTGTTTCTATTTGCTTTTAGTTACCCTATCTGGAAATTTTCAAGTATCCCTTATTCTTTGACTGTTCCTTTAGTAATAGAGCATCATGTTCTTGTTTTACAGATGCAGTATATTCTCTTAGTTCTCTGAAGGTGTGGTAGGGGTGGAGGGTTAATTTTCTCCTGCTACCTATTTTTCCCAAGTTTCTTTTTTATTTATTTTTTAAAAGATTTTATTTATTTGAAAGAGAGTGAGAAAGAGAGCATGAGCAGGGAGAGGGGCAGAGGAGAGGGAGAAGCAGACTCCCCGCTGAGCAGGGAGCTGGAGCGGGACCCTGGGATCATGACCTGCGCTGAAGGCAGACACTTAACCGACTGAGCCACCCAGGCATCCCATATCTAATGATCCTTGCCAATTACCTTATAATTCCTACATGCTGGAAGCCTTCATTAAGTATCTGGAAATCCTTGATAACTATGTAGTTATCACTGACTAACCATTCAAGGGTAAGGTATTAAAAACATTGATTAGAACTCAGAGGCTTTCTCTAGAAAGACTGGGTGGGGAGTTTAATGCCAGTTATCTGTGGATCTATTCTCTGGGGCCACTCAGTTCTTCCAGTAAAGGATCCTCTAATCTTTTGCCTGGGTTAAAGAGTTACTACAGCTTATTATAAAGGCTACCAGCATTCTGGGAGCTGAGCAGGGACCTACATTGAAGGTTTTACTGTTCAGCATACAGACTTTTATGTAATTTGCATGTTTTCACCCACATCCTCCACTGTCTCTAAGAATGGCTATGTCTGGAGATTTGTGTTTCAATTTCTTTAGAAAATAAACCTGTCTCTAGTGGAGGTATAAATAAGGTGGAAGTACAGTTGGACAAAGGGAAGTGACCTAGCTGTGTAGAGGGACCCTGGTATTAACGGCCCATATACAATTTTTTTTTGACCAACCCAGTTTTTAGTCTTATACCTCATTATTGTCATCAATGGTCACAGGTGCTTCTCAATAACTAAGCAACTTTAGCATTGTGTGTGCCAAGCCAAAACTGCCTCTAGTTGGCTTCTTTTTCTGTAAAATTTAAGCCGCCTTCATTTCTGGTTTTACATCTTCTGGCATAGTATTATGGGCATCTCCTAGTTTCAAACATGGCATTTATATACCTTTTTCAAGATAATTTATAAGGGTGAGGGGGGAGTTTTTGCCCTGCCATATTGAAAATCTTTAAGATATAATTATCACTTGGGCGCCTGGGTGGCTCAGTCGGTTAAGCAGCCGCCTTCAGCTCATGATCCCAGGGTCCTGGCATCGAGTCCCACATCAGGCTCCCTGCTCAGCAGGGAATCTGTTCTCCCTCTCCCTCTGCCCCTCACCCCTGCTAGTACTCGCTCTCTCAAATAAATAAAATCTTAAAAAAAAAAGAATGAAAGAGAGTGTGAACAGAGGGACAAGGGTGGGGAGGGGTAGAGAGAGAAAGAGAATCCCAAGCAGGCTCCACACGACCCTAAGATAATGAACTGAACTGAAATCAAGAGTCGGACACTTAACTGAGACACTAAGGCGCCCCTCCAACCTGTTTTTTTTTTTTTAAAGATTTTATTTATTTATTTAATTGACAGAGAGAGAGAGAGAGAGAGACAGCAAGAGAGGGAACAAGCAGGAGGAGTGGGAGAGGGAGAAGCAGACTCCCTGCCGAGCAAGGAGCCCGATGTGGGGCTCGATCCCAGGACCCCGGGATCATGATCTGAGCCGAAGGCAGACGCTTAATGACTGAGCCACCCAGGCGCCCTGTTCATTTTTAACTTGTCTCTCTCCACTTACTTTCTCAATGGAATGATAATTCATAACATTAGGGGCTATTTTTTTTTTTTTTTTTTTAAAGATTTTATTTATTTGGGCGCCTGGGTGGCTCAGTTGGTTAAGCGACTGCCTTCGGCTCAGGTCATGATCCTGGAGTCCCGGGATCGAGTCCCGCATCGGGCTCCCTGCTCGGCGGGGAGTCTGCTTCTCCCTCTGACCCTCTTCCCACTCATGCTCTCTGTCTCTCATTCTCTCTCTCTCAAATAAATAAATAAAATCTTTAAAAAAAAAAAAAAAAAGATTTTATTTATTTGACAGAGAGAGACACAGTGAGAGAGGGAACACAAGCAGGGGGAGTGGGAGAGGGAGAAGCAGGCTTCCCGCTGAGCAGGGAGCCCGATGCGGGGCTCAATCCCAGAACCCTGGGATCATGACCTGAGCCGAAGGCAGACACCCAACGACTGAGCCATCCAGGTGCCCCAGGGGCTATGGTTATATCCTGGTAATGAATGAACTGTGTTTGGGGGAGCTGACAGATTCTCAAATGTAAACTCTGTGTTTTCGTGAGTAGCAGAGCTGTCACATAGCTCATCCACAGGACCCATCACTAGCACAGGGATTACTATTCATCTTCAAATCTAAATGTGTGTTTCTTCTGCAAGCACCCAGAGAAGCAAGCTTCTCCAAATGATGCAGAGAACTCACACCAAACTAAAAAAAATGTTTGAGAAGGTAACTTTTCTTTGTGGCATATAGAAGCTATTTTCTGTGTTCAAGGAACTAAAAACCTGTTTTTTATGTCTCGGGTTCACATTTCTTTAAATACATATCACTTGAGAAGAAGAGTAGGGGTTGGAAACTGGAAGGCAGGGAGGAAAACACTCTCAGCTTCAGAAGGATTCCCCAATATTCCTTTGCCTTCATCATTCAGAAAGGCTAAACTAAACTTTATAGCTCAAGAAAAGTCTCTAAGGCACCATCTTTATCTCCAGTGCGGGTAGAAAGACGATGTTTTATTTTAAGATGGTTCCAGTCCAGAGAAATGCTACAGGACCACCACATCTACTTAGTTTGAACAGAACTAAAATAATCTTACACACACTCTGCTGAGAATGCAGCTGTGGTGGCTGGTGTTACATATCTCCTAAAGTGTAATTTTTAACAGCCCCAAACAAAAAAAGTCCCAGGACTACAAAAGTGCATCCTAACACTTTTAGTTACAGCAAAGATGTTACAATATTACAGCCTGATGAGTTTTATTATAATTTTATTTTAGATTATAGAAACGAGTTATAATAAAATCTTTATTGTCCTCAATGAGAGGTCTTCTCATCTCACATTAACAAAAAGGTTTGCTTTGGAGGAGGTGGTTTTTTTTTTAAATGGTCTGTTTTTTGGCCATTTTTGGAAGAATGGTGCTCCTCTCTAAGAATTATCTATGGGAAGATAATTCTTACACAAGTTATACAAATAGCTATTACAATATTGTAGTGTATACATCAATCCTAGACTTACCCTTAGAAGCAGCTCTGCTAATATACAGCCAACAGCCCACATGTCCACACCTACACCATACATTCTAGCTCCAAAGAGTAACTCAGGGGCCCGATACCACCTGAAGAACAAAAAGAAATAATGTAATCTTAAAATGGAATTATTAAAGTATTTCTTGGAGAAAACTCCTCAGCAAAACATCATCCCACTGATGAAATTCACTTTTATGGATATAGTAACTCAAGAAAAACTGGCTATAAAACCAAGCAGTTCCAGGGCTCCTGGGTGGTTCAGTTGGTTAAGCGTCTGCCTTTGGCTCGGGTCATGATCCCAGGTCCTGGGCTCGAGTCCTGCATCGGGCGCCCTGCTCAATGGGGAGCCTGCTTTTCCCTCTGCCTCTGCCTCTCTTCTCTGATGAATAAATAAATAAAAAATCTTAAAAAAACAAAACAAAAACAAGCAGTTCTATACTGAAGATTATACACATCCTTGGTCCATTTACTCTCCCAATCATAGATGTTTAACACCTTCTCTCTCCTGAAACTCTCAACACCGTCCTTCCTCTAAGCCAATGACCTTACTTCCGACTTCACTGAAAAAAAATCCAAGTAATGGGGGAAAAAAAAAGGGAAAAAGAAAAAAAATTTCCATGGACTCACCTATGGTCATTTATAATTCACACAGTCTGCCTTTCCCAACTACAGATGAACTGTCCTAAACTGTTTTAATGCTAATATGTCAACTTGGGGAACCAGGTAGCATGGTACCATTTTCAAAGATACTGAAATTCTCTGTCTCCTACATCAATGTTTTCTTCTTCACTAGACTTTTCCCACTAACATTCGAACATACCATAATTTCTTCAGCCTTAAAAAATAAACTAAAAACAAAGTAACAAACAAGAAAAACTTCTTTAGGCCCAACTTCCTCTAACAGCTACCTCCACATTCTCTGGTTATTCTGAAAAGCTGTCTGTTCTTACTGTCTCCAATTCCTATTTTCTTATCCTTTTAAACCCTTGCAGGGGGTGCCTGGCTGGCTCAGTTGGTACAACATGTGACTCTTGATCTCAGGGTCCTGAGTTCAAACTCCACCTTAGGCCTACATAGAGCTTACTTAAAACAAAAAAAAGCCAAACAGGGATGGCTGGGTGGCTCAGTCGGGTTAAACGTCTGTCTTCAGCTCAGGTCATGATCTCAGGGTCCTGGGATCAAGTCCCACATCAGACTCCCTGCTTGGCAGGGAGTCTGCATCTCCCTCTCCCTCTTCCCCCATGCTCATGCTCTCTCAAATAAATAAATAAAATCTTTAAAAAATTAAAAAACAAATTAATCCTGCACAATATAAACTTTCCGTTTTTTAAGTGATTCTTACCTGGTTACAACCTGATGTGTATAAGCTCTATTGGGGCTCCCAAATGATTTGGCCAGGCCAAAATCTGCCAGTTTTAGAACTCCATTTTCATCTAGCAACAAGTTGTTTGGTTTTAGATCCTGTATCATTGAGGTTTTAAATAAACAAGTAAGCAGGTGAGAGAGAATACCATAATGATATATTTAGTTGGCTTCACTTTAAACTTTGCAAAAAATAGGGTAAAACCCTAAATTTAAACAATAATCAGTATTTTTTTCATTGACATTAAAATCTTACCAAAGCAAAATAAGATTGGTTATATTACTTAGTGAGACCTTGGATCAAGATCTTGGGTCACTGAGCTTCAATTTACCTACTTCATAGGGTTGCTGTGAGAATTAAATTTAACATTTTTCTATAAAGAGCCTACTGTAGTGACTAAGAACTCAATAAACAGTTGCTGCTATTTATTAAGAGTAATACATATTAACTTCAGTAAATAAAAATATTATGCACTTACAGAGGATGAGGAATATATTCCTCAAAATCTATACTAAAAAGATACTAACAATAACCTAAAAGGGATTCCAAGTTTAAGGTCTGAGAATTACGGACTATAAATTATATATTCTTAGCGATTTATCTAAATAGAGTGCCTAAGAACATCTACCTATTGAGATTTTCAGCCTTGTTTCAATAGCTGAATGTTTCTAACATTGACTCAACCATTTCAGAAACTTTCATTACTTCATAAAATTTTAGAGTTACTAGAAATATTTTTTTTCTAAAAATATTTTAGCATTGTATAATTTAATCCAGACTCTTGCTATATTTTTTTTCTGTTACAACAGTATAAGTATAGCACAAGAACACCGGACTTCAAGCCAAAAATGTAGATTCCAATACTCTGTCAGTTACCAGCTACTGACCTTGAAAAAATATATGTAACCTTGGTCAGGTGATGTAGCAACTTAGCTCTTCACCTATGAAAAAAATGAAGAACTGGGTCTCTTCCATTTCTAAATTTTACATAGTATTTTAGAGTCTTCATGTCACCACCTGGTGGAACAACTGAAGGGAACACCCAGAGGAAGGTGGGAAAAAATGGCCTGGCTCTATTTTTATTTTAACAATATACATATTTAGACTATTTATGTAATAATTGACTATATAAAACTTGACTAAAACATAAAGAATCAATCATACTTGGTTAAAAACCTTACCCTATGTAGAATCCAATGTTGATGTAAATATTCTAACCCTTGAAGAGTCATCAGCATGTAGGCTTTGATGTGTGATGGTGTCAGCACAAGACTATTATCCTTTATTATAACCTGTAAATCCAGTACATAATATACAATTATTCCAAATAAATCACACCATATAAAATCACATACAGACATAAAATGAATTTATCTACCATACAGGAGAATCTCAAGAAACACTGCCTAACTCTCCCCTTAGGAGGCTCTGTCAGAATTTCCAGTTATATGGTTAGGGAAAGTATCTCTCCTGGTGCTTTCTCTCTTACTTCTTTGTAAAAGGCACTAACATACTGAACATCTGTTGTTTTGCTTGCCTGACGATGTACAGCCCCTTCTGATAATAGCATTCAGCATTCCTCTGGGAAACCACCTGGTTAAAATAGGACTGACCACGACCTGTGGCCTCTAGAGGTAGATACATGACTCCCACATAGCCAACCACCACACTGAAGCCTACTGTCCAGAAGATTGGTTTAGGGATGGACATGTGATCCAAGCCAAGCTAATCAAACAGGCCAAATACTTCTGCTAGAATCAAAGCGAACAAATCACCTTCTTTCCTTACAGATTATTAAACTCTTAAGGATATAAGCATGAGGTGCCTGAGCCACTATATTGAGAAATTATGCCCATGAAGGAAGGGGAAACAAAGAAGAAAACAGAGCTGAATTAAAGTGCAAGACTGAGTTCTCATGGCATTATCTGAGAACTGTGCTTAAAGCCAATTTATTCCTAAACTTACAAGTTATATTAGCTAAAAGTTCCCATTTTCTTTTAGAAATCAGATTTAGATAAAAGGTATCCAAATTGTAAAGAAGTAAAACTTTCACTATTTGCAGATGACAATGATTTATATAGAAAACGCTAAAAACTCCACCAAAAAACCACTAGAACTGATCAATGAATTCAGTAAGGTTGCAAGATACAAAATCAATATACAGAAATCTGTTGCATTTCTATATACTGATAATGAAGTAACAGTAAGAGAAATTAAAAGAGGGGCGCCTGGGTGGCTCAGCCGTTAAGCATCTGCCTTCGGCTCAGGTCATGAACCAGGGTCCTGGGATCGAGCCCCGCATCGGGCTCCCTGCTTGGCGGGAAGCCTGCTTCTCCCTCTCGCCACTCCTCCTGCTTGTGTTCCCTCTCTTGCTATGTCTCTATCTGTCAAATAAATAAAATCTTTAAAAAAAAAAGAGAGAGAGAGAGAAATTAAGAGAACAATCCCATTTACAAAAAAAAAAGAAAAGAAAGAAATCAGATTTAGGCAAAATATGCCCTTTTCAGTGCAGAGTTCCATGAGTTTTAACAAAGACATCCAGTTGTGTAACCACTACCATAATCAAGATAGAGTTCTTTAACTCCCACCCCCACCCCAATCGCCTCAGGCCCCTCTATACCCAATACTTTCTTCTACTCCCAACCCTGGCCACCACTGATCTGATCTGTTTCTTTAGCTTCACCTTTTCCAGAACATCATATAAATGGAATCATACAATATATAGCCTTTTGAGCCTGAGTTCTTTCATTTAGCACAATACATTTGAGATTCCTCTATACTATTTTATGTATGGGCAGTTCATTTCTTTTTATCCCCAAACAGTATTCCATTTTATAGCTATACCACAGTTTGTTTATACATTCACTAGATGAAAGGTATTTGAATTGTTTCCAGTTTGGGCAATAATGAATAAAGCTGAACATCTATGTACCAACTGATTTCTGTGTAGACATATTTTGGTTTCTCTTAGATAAACACCTGGCAGTGGTATGGCCAGATCATTCTTTAGCTGTGTATTTAACTGTTTAAGAAACTGCCAAACTATTTTCCAAACTGGCTGCACCATTTTGCATTCTCACCAGCACTGTATGAGAATTTCAGTTGTTCAACATCCCTGAATTGTCAGTTTTTGAGATTCAATTAGTATTAAGGAAAAGCATAAGATCTTATTTTCTCAAAAATAAAACAAAAAACTTGGTTTTCAAAAGGAGGATATTCTGTGATAATATGGAAAAGGAACTCTAAATTCTCAAAGGCCTAATATTCATTTCTTTAAAAATAATGTCAATAAAGGTATAGGGAACTTGGCAGACAGAAATGCTTTGAAATCCCAATCTCTATATTTAACACTGGGCTAAATGATTCAGAAGAGAAAAGGAAATAAACATTTAGGTTCTCTTTTGATAAAAAGAGAAAAGAAAGTCCTCTGGGAATCTTAATCTTACCTCTAGATCAGTTTCCATAAAATCAAAGACAAGGCTAATATTAGATTTATGTCCAAAAGCATCAAGGAGCTGCAAAGCAAAAATAAATAAATAAATAGATAGATAAATAAAATGTGATTTTTCCATAAAATACTCAAAAATATTATACCAACTAAAGTAATCTTTAAAAATTTAAACAAGCAGGGGCGCCTGGGTGGCTCAGTTGGTTAAGCGACTGCCTTCGGCTCAGGTCATGATCCTGGAGTCCCAGGATCGAGTCCCGCATCGGGCTCCCTGCTCGGCAGGGAGTCTGCTTCTCCCTCTGACCCTCCTCCCTCTCATGCTCTCTGTCTCTCATTCTCTCTGTCTCAAAATAAATAAATAAAAATCTTTAATAAAAAAAAAAAAAAATTTAAACAAGCATGTGGCCTGCTGATAATTCCCTGCTAAATTTGAATTATTTTATTAAATTTGACATTTATCCTTTTTCTTGCTAGGAATTAGTAATTTGAAGCACAAAAATACTAAACTTTATTTTTTTTAAGATTTTCTTTATTTATTTGAGAGAGCGAGACAGAGAGCACAAGCAGGAGGAGGGGCAGAGGGAGAGGGAGAAGCTGACTCCCCACTGAACCGGGAGCCTGATGCCGGGCTCCATTCCAGGACTCAAAGATCATGACCTGAGCCAAAGTCAGACACCTAACAACCAACTGAGCCACCCAGGTGCACCTAAACGTTACTATTTTTAAAAAGTCGGGGCACCTGGGTGGCTCAGTCATGAAACGTCTGCCTTCAGCTCAGGTCATGATCCCAGGGTGCTGGGATCGAGCCCCGCATCGGGCTCCCTGCTCAGCAGGGAGCCTGCTTCTCCCTCTCCTACTCCCTCTGCTTGTGTTCCCTCTCTCGCTGTGTTTCTGTCAAATAAATAAATAAAATCTTTAAAAATAAATAAATAAATAAAAATAAAAAGGCACTAAATACTTAAGCTCTCCTCCAAAATTTTGAGTTATAATTAAGAAGTAAATTAATGAAAACCTCATCTCAGTCTCCAATTCTGCGCTCAGTATTTAAGAAAATCCTATAAACAGCAGTGGCAGCTATCATTCATTGTATGCACCCTCTATGCCAGGCTCTATTTCCAGGTACTTTACATGCATTCAATCAATTAAGTAGTCTCACCACAACCCTCTGAGGTGGAATTATGGCACCAAGTTGTAGGGGAGCTTACTCAAGATCTTATGCATGCTAGGGCTCTCTACGCTTCAAAATGATTTTTGACAAAATTAGGCCGTATGCCAATACTAAATTTATTTCATCAGCTGTATAGCTTTAAAGACACTGCCTAGGGATGCCTGGGTGACTCAGTCGGTTAAGTGTCTGCCTTTGGTTCAGGTCATGACCCCAGGATCCTGGGATGGAGTCCCACGTTCGGGTTCCCTGCTCAGCGGGAGTCTGCTTCTCCCTCTGCCCCTCCCCCCTGCTTGTGCAGGCTCTCTTCCTCTCTCTCTCAAAATAAATAAAATCTTAAAAAATAATAAGAATAAATAAATAAAGACACTGCCTACAGTATCAATTAGAATAGAAAATACATATTAGCCTGATAAACTTTTAAGTTTTTTTGAAAGGTTCACCTAAAATAATTCATCTTGCTGAGCTTTCAATCAACATCTACCACATTCAGAAATGACAGGGTCCCAGGACGCCTGGGTGGCTCAGTCAGTTAAGCGTCTGCCTTCGGCTCAGGTTATGATCCCAGGGTGCTGGGATCGAGCCCCGCATCGGGCTCCCTGCTCAGGAAGGAGCCTGCTTCTCCTTCTCCCTCTGTCTACCATTCTGCCTACTTGTGCTCTCTGTTAAATAAATAAAATCTTAAAAAAAAGAAATGACAGGGTCCCAAATCCCAGAAACAACTTAGATCATACTCACACCAATTATATTTGGATGACTTAGCTCCTGTAATAATTTTATCTCTCTTAAGGCTGTTCTATTTATACCTACATGAAAAGGCAAAGCACAATGTGAAAAATAATTCTGACATCTCAAATCTTATAAACATATTTTTGGGGATAGGTTAAGCAGTGAATATAAGAAAAATAAGGACTATTTTGACAATTTTTTTTGATATCTGGTTTTCTTTTATATTACTTCATTTTCAAAAGAGCTTAACAATGACTATGATAAATGGTGATAAAAAGTATTCACTTTATACCATATCACTTGAGAAGACTGCTGGAATAACAATGTGATAGTGTGTTATTAAAGCAGTAAGTCAACAGCTTCCTCTTTCTCGCATTATGTTAGAAACAGATTCTTTTTTTTTTTAGAAACAGATTCTTGATGCTAACAACAAAGTAGTGGTAAGACAATATCTTTCCCAATACAAAGGACAAAACTCAAAATTAAAAATAAGATGTGGTACTGTTAAATAGAAGAAGCGTCCTTTTTATAAAAACTAGTTCTTGATGACTAAACAAGACTTAGCATACTAGTACAAAATGCTATGGAGGAAGGGTAAAACCATGTTTTCTTCCATTTATCTATTTCAGTGTGAGCTTTCTGTACTTCCATGAAGTTGTATCCTGAATTTTCAAAGTAATTAGAAGCTCAGAAAAAGAATAAACAACTGCTTGCAACACCTTAAAGAGTAATGAAGACAGCAAAACAAGCCACTAATAACCTTGTTGCCTTACATTTACTCAGATGACTTGGATGACTTACAGGACTCTTAACATCCAAATGGTAGATATCACAAATATCCTGTCTCTATCCTGAGTTTACTCTTCTATCACCCTGCAATAACTCTATCTAGAACCACTCATAACTCTAATACGTTGCTAACTTCCTTAGTGAGAATAAAAACTTTTCCTGTTCTGTCAGATTACATGGAGTACTCACCATCTTTAGCTTCTGATCTATGTCCAAGTTTAATCTGGGGGGGGGGAACCCAAATACATTAAAAATGTTAAATTATTTATACTTAATTCATAACATATAAACACTTCAGAAACTTAGCCACAGTAAAAACACGTAGCAACTTATATGCAAGAAGGGAGTGGAAATCATGAATTTGAAAGGCAAAATTAACAATATAAGAAAGGACCAAGTACCTATCATTCCTTGCCCCTTAGTTTTTGAATTACATTCAAGTAATGGAATTAAGAAAATAAATGTCTCCTTTATCTTTGCAAGATTAAATGTACAAAAGTAACTGAGGGCATACTGACTAATAAACAACAACAAAAAATGACTTCAAGTTAGCCTACTTGGGAGGAAATATATGACATATAAACATAACATGTTTAATACGCCCAACATGTTCTTAGGGAACACATTTTCCAAAAACCAAAATTACAAATTATGATCGATATGGTTAAACTGTTACTATTAATACACATAACAAAACAAAACAAAAAAAGCACAACAAATTGCATTAATAGGTTCAGGCTTACACCAGTCTCTTACTCACTGCTTTATATAATGACTACATGTAACCAAAAATACAAAAAAAAAAAAAAAAATTACTTCTGGAAAAACACAGCTATTCTACCTTTAAAAATATCTCCCAGGGGCACCTGGGTGGCTCAGTCATTAAGCGTCTGCCTTCGGCTCAGGTCATGATCCCAGGGTCCTGGGATAAAGCCCCGCATCGGGCTCCCTGCTCAGCGGGAAGCCTGCTTCTCCCTCTCCCACTCCCCCTGCTTGTGTTCCCTCTCTCTCTGTCAAATAAATAAATAAAATCTTTAAAAAAAAATAAAAATATCTCCCAGCTAAATGCAAACTGGTACAGCCACAGTGGAAAACAGTATGGAGATTCTTAAAAAATTAAAAATGTAATTACCATATGATCCAGTAATTCCCCTACTGGGTATATAACCAAAGAATACGAAAACACTAATTCAAAAAGATATATGCACCCTATGTTTATTGTAGCATTATTTACAATAGCCAAACTATGAAAGCAACCCAAATGTCCATCTTTATCCATTAATCTCTCGATGGACATTTGGGTTGCTTTCGTAGTTTGGCTATACACACACACACACACACACACACACACACACACACACACTGAAATATTACTCAGCCACAAAAAAGAACGAAATCTTGCCATTTGTGACACGAATGGATCTAGAGGGTATAACACTAAGTGAAATAAGAGAAAGACAAATACCATATGATTTCATTCATATGTGGAATTTAAGAAACAAAACTAACAAAGAAAAGAGACAAACCAAGAAACAGTTAACTACAAAGAACAGATGGCTATCAGAGGGGAGGTGCGTGGGGGGATGGGGGAAATAGGTGAAGGGGATTAAGACTACACATCATGATGGACACTGACTAATGTATAGAATTGCTGAATCACTGTACTGTACACCTGAAACTAATGTATCACTTTATGTTAACTATGCTGGAATTAAAATTAAAAAAATAAGATTCCTGGTAATGATAAAAATAGATTAAAAGATATAAATAAATATATACATATCTCCCAGCGATATACCACAAACACAACTTTTTACTTAAAGGTAAACTACTATAACACCAAAAAAATAAGGCACTCAGTAATAAATCTGACAAAAGATTTGCAAAGCTTTCCAAAACTAAGTAATAAAACAATATGAAAACATGCTTAAAAATGAGACTAAAATAACACATTCATGGATAGCAAGACTCAGTAATCATAAATATGTCAATTTTTTTTAAGTTCAACCAAATCTAAAGCTCAACAGCATTTTTTAAAGATCACTGACAAATCAATTCTAAATTTTATATGGAAAAGTAAGGATCTAAGAACAATTTTAAAATTTTTTACATTTTATAAACACAATAAAAATACATTGTTTTCACGAAGCCATCTACTTCCTCACCCAGATTAAACAACTATCAATATTTTGCCACACTTACTTCATTATTCATCCTCCCCTTTCTGCTGGCTAAAATGTTTTATAACAAACCTGAGATTTCATGTCATTTCATCCCCATGTACTTAGGTAAGCATCTCTAAAACACGGGACATTTTCTTACATATTCAAAATGCCATTTTCATACTTAATAATAATGCCATAGCAGTAGGTAATACCTAGTTCATATCTAATTCTCCTGATTGTCTGAAATTTCCCAACTAGCAGATAAAGTAGCCAAGAGATAATTTTGAAGAAAAACAGGTATGTTTATCTTATCAGATTTCAAGGCTTTTGAAAGACAGTAGTAATTAAATACACTATAGTATCTGAGCAGGGATGGAAAAAAAAAAATCAATCAATGGAAAAAAATAGTGTGCCCAGAAATGGCTCCAAGTATATACTGGAACTCGGCATTACAACTAATGCAGAACTTTGTGTTACAACTCACCAGGAAAAGGACAGACTATCAATAATGCTGGGACAGCGAGGAAAAAATATTGGATCGCCATATTACACAAAGTAGAAAAATTAATTCCAGATGGAATAAAGACCTAAATGTGAACAGCAATACTTTAAAATTTTTAGAATATAGAATCCTTAATAAACGAGGTGGCAAGCAGACAAAAAAGAAAACCATAAAGCAAAAAAATGGATAAACTCAACCAGAACAGAATTATAAATTTCTGTGCCCCAGAAGATACTATATATAAACTAAAAGTCTAGGCAAAGACTGGGAGAAGATATCTGAAGTGCAGATTTCTGACAAAGGATCAATGTCCAGAATATAATAAAAAATTCCACTAATCAACAGGAAGAAAAAAATTTAAGCACCCTAACAGAAAAACCGGTAGGAGAAAGTCTAAAAAGCCAATAAATCTAAGAAAAGATGATCAATCTAACTGGTATTCAGAGAAATATTAATTGAAACAATCATATGCCAATTTTGATCCAGGTAACTGACAAATGTAAAATTTGACAATACAAACATGGTAAAAACGTGGAAGGAGGTTAAATTAGTCCAAGCACTTTGAAGAGCAATGACAATATGTGGTGAGGCTGATGCTGTATATTCCCTAAAACAGGCATGTCTGTAGGGCTGTATAAAGGGAAAACATAAAAAATAACAAAATAGCTTAAGTGTGTGCATCAAGAATTTGGACAGGCAAATTTTAGTGTAGTTATATGATGGAATTTAATTATCAATGATCATATATAAACCACATCTACATGTATCCATGTAGAAGATTTCAGAAATAACGCGGATTCAGAAAAACAAACTGCAAAAGAATATTTACATATGGGGGGGTGGGCAGGCAGGCAGGCGGGCGGGCGGGCAGGCGGGCAGACAGCCAGCCATTGAAAGAAATAACCTAGAAGGCCACCAATAGAGGACTGGTTAAATAAATGGGGAAACATAAATTGAGTATGATCTTTTTAAAAAGATGAGGCAGAGATCAATGATTTTTTTAATAAATTTCAAAAGAAATGAAATTTTACACTTACCTCTAAACATACTTTAAAAGTCTAAGATACAATAGGTGAAAGAATATTGAATATTCATTTTTTGTAAAATTAAACATAAATGTTAGTAAATGAACAAGTGTAATACTTTATAGCAGAAAGACTAGATAATGTCTAAAATGAGGTAGGGGCAAGCACTCAAGAAATAACGATATAGGGTGCCTGGGTGGCTCAGTTGGTTAAGCGACTGCCTTCGGCTCAGGTCATGATCCTGGAGTCCCGGGATCGAGTCCCGCATCGGGCTCCCTGCTCGGCAGGGAGCCTGCTTCTCCCTCTGACCCTCTTCCCTCTCATGCTCTCTCTATCTCATTCTCTCTCTCAAATAAATAAAATCTTTAAAAATAAATAAATAAATAAATAAATAAATAAATAAAAATAAAAAAAGAAATAACGATATAAGCACATTATTTAATGTAATAGAAGTAAATACCAGAGGAAAACTATAGGAGTTGTGATTGCTCTAAGGAGTGAAAAACTGGGCTAGAGGAACCAAGCACCTTAAAAAGCCTGGGCCTTTTAACTGATTTTTAAAACCACAAAGCAGCATTATTTGAAATAAAAATTAAATGTAAAAGAAGATTCCATTGTGAGTAACCTTCAAGGGGTAAAAGTCTATCAAAGAGAAACAGGAGGGGCACCTGCATGGCTCAGTGGGTTAAGCGTCTGCCTTGGGCTCAGGTCATGATCTCTGGGTGCTGGGATGGGCCAGAGTAGGGCTTCCTGCTCAGCAGGGAGGCTTCTCCCTCTGCCCCTACCCCCACTCTCAAATAATAATCTTAAAAAAGAAAAAGAGAAAGGATGGATTCTAAATCCTAACTTATGTTAAAAAAAAAAGCACACCCCCCCCCCCCCCCAACAAAACAAATCCCACTAGGACTTTCAAACAACTACATTAACTCAGTATGCCAACAATGAAGATTATATCAGTCGGGTTAATACGTGTTTTTTTTAGGTTAATACATTTTTAATGAATGTCCTAAGTATAATTTGAGTGGAAGTAAATAGACAATAAGCTCACAGATAAGAGGATTTCAGATTTTGATAAATGTTATGAAGATAATGGAGAAATATGGCAAGGAACACTAGGGAAGTAGGGAGGCACACCTATTTTAACTAGAGGCCTCTATGTGGGGGAGACATTTGAGTGAAATCTAAAACTTGCCAAGTTTTAGAGAAAAATATACTAGCCAGAAGGCAGGCAAATCCAACGATCCTGGGAATGCACTGAATTTAATGTGTTCAAAGGACAGAAAGGTCAGTGTGACCAGAACATAATGGACCACGGGTAGAATAAAAAAGGTAACTTTAGAAAGGGTCAGAATAGATAAGAATTTTTACACAGGAGTAGCTACAATGCTGGATTATAGAATTTAAGTTGGAAAACAGAGATGAGAGAAATCAGAAAAAGTAAAAAGATAACAACAGCAGGAATAATTGTGGAGAGGGTGACAGGGAGTGGGTGTAAGTGAATCAGGGGACTAGGCTTCAAAGGAGTTAGGAATTTTGAAGGAGAAATAAATTCAAATAGCAACAGGAACAATAAGGAGGTGAGGACACCTGGGTGGCCCAGAGTCCTGGGACGCAGCCCCATGTGGGGGCTCCCCGCTTTAGCGGGGAGCCTGCTTCTCCCCCTACTTGTGCAGTGCGCGCTCTCTGACAAATAAAATGAGGAGGTGGAGGTCACCTACCCCACCAAGAGACCTTGAGATATGACAAAAACCTCTCTTTGAGAGGATTACTGATTTCAGTAGCATGGGAAAGAACAAGCAACCTGGCAGCAAAACACCTGGATTTAAATCCTAGTTTTAGTATTAGTATCTGTGTCATTTTGACAAGTTACTCAATCTCTCTTGGTCTCAGGTACCTCAAGTGTAAAATAAGGATACTTCCCCTACTTCACATGGCTATATTGAAGGCTAAGTGAAAAGAATGTAAGTGAAAGTGCCTGACATGTGGAAAATTAGCTACATATGACCCAAGCTTCTTTAATGAATGCAAGTAAAAAAGCTACTAAAAAGGCACATCAGTGTTTATGCTCACGAAAGCCTTTCATGGAAAATCTGTACACAGAAAACACAGATGATACACATGAGGGATGCAGGTGTGGCACAAACCGTGACCTGGGAATATCACGGCACTAAATAGTTCTGAGGACCCAACAGATGGGTACTTGGTCCCCTTGCCTACGTCTGAGTTTATAAAGTAATATATAGCTTCCTCTTCATTTCAATTCCAATTAATGGGACAACAACAAAACTAGTTCAACCCGAGTTCCATCCTGAACACAAGCACTAATAAATTGTTTTCTCTGAAAACGACATAAATATCTCATTAGCAGAGCACTGTTGAGAGTTGTAAAAAGCCCAGGCATCAGCTCATACCTACAAACATCTTCAGGGACTCAAGGAAAAATAACAGTAACTCACTTTCTTAATGGCGACAATTTGGTTGGTGTTCTTGTCTCTGGCCTTGTAAACCGTGGCAAACTAGAGAGAAAAACAGAAATAATCCTAAGTTTGTGGGAGCTTTGTGTTTGTGTTTGCCTTTTTACTTATTTAGTTTGGAGAAGCAAAGAGCCCGGGATTCCTGGATCGGATCCGTGGCGGCGTGGAACGTGGTGAGGCAGGCCACTTCCCGTTCCAGTCTATCCTTCAGAAAGGACAGGGCCCCGAGGGGCCTGGGTGGCTCAGTCCTTAAGCGTCTGCCTTCGGCCCAGGTCATGATCCCGGGATCTTGGGATCGAGCCCCGCATCGGGCTCCCTGCTCCGAGGGAAGCCTGCCTCTCCCTCTCCCACTCCCCCTGCTTGTGTTCCCTCTCTCGCTGTCTCTGGCAAATAAATAAATAAAATCTTAAAAAAAAAAAGGACAGGGCCGCTTAGGGGTTCCCGTCGAGGCTACACACAAGGGGCAGCAGGTGCGTCTGGGCAGCCTCGCCCAAAAAGGAGTAGCCAGGTCAGTCCTCTCAATTGCACCAGAAAATCTGTGAGGGTGTGAGGCGGCTCCGCGTTCTCTGTTCAGAGACCTCCGAATCCCGCCGAGAGCCTCACCTGTCCCTCCCCGAGGAAGTCCAGTTTTTCATAACGCTTTGCTCGCGACTTCACGTCCACCGCCATCCGTCCCACGAAACTCGACTCCAACAGAAAGGGGCAAGCTTCCGAGACACCAGGAATTTAAAGCTACCTTAAAGCCTCCAACAGCCACTTCCGTTGAGTGGGCGCCGACGCTTTATTAGCTCCGCCCCGACTTCCGGTTTGGGCTTGGGCGCTGCTAAATAAGTCCGGCTAGAGCCCGCCCTACGGAAGCTGAGCGAGGCAGCGTTCGACGGCTTTTCTGCGCAGTCCCCGCCCTGTCGCTCCGTAGCCTGTTGGTGCCGGAAGCGGAGTGTTTTCGCAGGTGATTCTGTCACCCTGTTACCGTTATTAACTTCGATATTCCCTTCACTACCGGGGACAGGTCAGCGTTCTGATATGATATTCTGAGTTCGGGATTTAATGGGTGTGTATGAGTGTGGAAGGCTTGACCTTATCCCTGATCTCGCTTTCTGGTTCTTGCTCAAGGGCGTCCGTCGCCACGGTTGCTATGGACGCTTAGCGTCGCAATCTCAGGTTACTTGGAAGAGAGCCCAGTTCTTAAGGGCTGGTCTAGAGGCTCTCTTAATTCATTCCTTTGTGAAATACTCCTGGGGAAACAAAATCCAAGTCCACTGAAGAATTTCGTGCTGTGGAACAGACTTCTGGTCATCAGTTTTCTATTCTGTAAAATGGTAATAATAGGCGACATCATAACTGGTTGTGAAGACTAAATGAAACACCCAGAAAGTTTAGACATAGTAAGTGCTCAATTAAGTGTTAATTGAGTACTCAACCTTGATTCTCATAAGTTTTCATGCAAATCAACACGTTAAATACATTAATTCACTTACTCATCAAATATGTATATAGAGCGCTTACTATGTGCCAGGCTCTGTTGCAGACTGAGAAAGCAGCAGGGAAAAAGACAAAGATCCATGCTTTCCAATGGAATGAGATAAAATATGTTATGATACATACTGTTAAGTTCTACAGAGATAAAGCAGGGGAAGGGGAGGGCTTGCAGTTTAAAACAGGGTGTTAAAAGACGTCACTGAAAAGCCACTGCAAAAAAAAAAAAAAAAAAAAGGCCACTGCAGTTTTCTGCAAAGTGGTATGATCTGACTTAATGTTTTAGAAAGTTCACTAATGGCTGTTTTGAGAGACCCAATATAGACTTAGAAAGCAAAAAAAGCAAGGCCAGTGAGAGAATTATTGCAGTTATCCCGATGACTATATAAGATTTTATCAATTTGACTTCTAGCCAATAGGATTTGCTGACAGACTGGATATGGGTTGTGGCAGAAAAACCCCCGATAATTCCAAGGTTTTGAACTGAAGCATTTGATGTTTCTAAGAGTTGAGAATATTCATTTTCAGAGGTGTTGAAGAAGGCAGCAGAATATTAAGGTTCATAATTTAGTCACGGTAACACAGAGTCAGGGTTGAGTTCTTGCTCTGGATCTAGACTACTTGCATTTGAATACTGACCTCACAAGTGTTCAGTCACTAGATTTATTACTTGGGCAAAATATTTAACCTTTTCATTCCTAGTTTTCTAATTTTTAATAGGACTACTCATTGGGTTGCTGCAAGGCTTAAATGTTTTACATTTCCAAAACCCTTAGAAAAGTGTCTGACAGTGCTCAGTTAGCTATCATGTAACTATTACTGGTCACCTTCCAGCTCTTTGTCACTTGGGTTTTTATTGAGTTTTAATATGTTCATAGACAAAATTCTCATACATTACACAAAACACCATCTTTACTATTTTTCTCTTATGTCAAGATATACCTAATGATACATGGTATCATAGAACTTAGGTCGAAGTTCCTTCTGAAAGTTATCACTTCAACAGTAATCTAACCTCACTTGTAGTAGAAATAAGTAGTGAGCTAAATGTGATGGTACACTTGTGAGGCTAGAAGTTCCAAAGTGTATCATGGCATATGAATTGATAATAACTGCATTATACTATGATGCTAAGTAAATTCTGATTTGGGGACATTTTAAGTATGGTAAAAAAGGCAGTTATTTAGGTAATATTCTGGGTTTACTGGGTCACTGTATTTATAAAATGCCATTCAGCATCTGTATAGCATTGTCCAGTTTACAAAGCACTTGCACGTATTAGCTATAGCCAGCTTTCAAGGTGGTCCCAATGAATCTTTCCTTCTGGTATCAATGCACTTGTGTAGTCTATTCCCACAGTGAAACAAACTGTTCTGTGTTACCTGTAGAATATGGCAGAATTCAGTACGTGTAATTTTTAAGATCATAAAAGGCATTGCTTCTTTTGCTTTGCATGCTTAGATCATTTGCTCTGAGGGAAGTCAGCCATCATGTCAAGAATTCAATCAGGTAGCCGTGTGAAGAGGCCTATGTGAGGAGCACCTGGGGCCTCCTGCCAACAGGCAGCATCAACTTGCCAATCATGAGTGAGCCACCCTGGAGGTAGATCATATAGCTCCTATCAAGCCTTCAATAACTGCAGCCCCAGCTGGCATCTGATTACAACCTCCTGAAAGACCGGGAGCAGAACTGCACAGCCGAACTGCTCCAGAATTCCAGACCCAGAGAAACAATGAGCTATTAAGTGATTATTATTGTTTTTAGCCGTATTTTGGGCTTTCAGTCATTAAGTTTTGATTTGCTACAAAGTAATACACAATAGGGACACCTGGGGGGCTCAGTTGGTTAAGCATCTACCTTCAGCTCAGGTCATGATCCCAGGGTCCTGGGATCGACCCCGCATCGGGCTCCCTGCTCCGCAGAGAGCCTGCTGCTTCTCCCTCTGCCTCTGCCTGCCACTTCCAGGGTTGTGCTCTGACAAATAAATAAAAATTAAAAAGAAAAGTAATACACAATTCACTAATGGATCCTATCATATTGTACAGTATTAGGGAGGAAAACTGAAGCTTGAACAAATTCAGCACTTGGCAGGTGATTATATATGTATTTAAGTGCTTATCTCCTAAATGAAAATACAGCCTATTTATTTAAAGCTAGGCCAGAATTCCTCCTATACCATCTCTTTGGGAGCTCATCCTACGACACCAATTCCCACTGAACATGCCTTTTTGCCATACTTATGCTCACTAATTCTGTAAAAGTGGTAATTTTTTTCATTGCGACATTCATGGTAGGAGCTGTAGTAAAGATGGACTTCAGACGGTTCTAGTATTGGGGCTTCTGACTGCTGGCCCACAGTAACACAGAAGTCACTCTTCATTACCTGAACCCACTCTGTTTCGGAAAGCAAAAATATTGGCTTCCTTTTACTGAAATGAAAAAATTAGGGAGAAAAAATAGAATAGTGCTAACTTTTATGAATATTTTCCAATTAAGTTTTTAAAATGATAACAGAAAAATCATGAATCACATTGTTTTTCTGAGTCACCAGAACAGCTTACTGCTAGTACCAAACACCTGTCTCATATTCGACTTGGGCAACATCTATACTAGGCCACAACAGAGAATTTACAAGAGAAGCAGATCAACTAAGGAATAGCAAAAAAAAAAAAAAAAAAAAAAAAAAAAAGCATGGGGCGCCTGGGTGGCTCAGTCATTAAGCAACTGCCTTCGGCTCAGGTCATGGTCCCGGGGTCCTGGGATCGAGTCCCGCATCGGGCTCCCTGCTCCGCGGGAGGCCTGCTTCTCCCTCTCTCACTCCCCTGCTTTGGTTCTCTCTGTCAAATAAATAAAATCTTTAAAAAAAAAAAGCAAAGCTTAGTTCACAGGCAAATGAGCAATACTCAACAACAATTCGACTTTTTTTTTTTTTTAAAGATTTTAAATTTAGGGGCGCCTGGGTGGCTCAGTCGTTAAGCGTCTGCCTTCGGCTCAGGTCATGATCCCAGGGTCCTGGGATCGAGCCCTGCATCGGGCTCCCTGCTGGGCAGGAAGCCTGCTTCTCCCTCTCCCACTCCCCCTGCTTGTGTTCCCTCTCTCGCTGTCTCTCTCTCTGTCAAATAAATAAATAAAATCTTTAAAAAAAAAGATTTTAAATTTATTTCAGAGAGAGATAGAAACAGAGATCAAGAGTGAGTGGGGAGGGGAGCCTGGACAGCTCAGTTGGTTAAGCGACTGCCTTCAGCTCAGGTCGCGATCCTGGAGTCCCTGGATGGAGTCCGCATCAGGCTCCCTGCTTGGCAGGGCGTCTGCTTCTCCCTCTGACCCTCCCCCCTCTCATGTGCTCACTCTCATTCTCTCTCTCTCAAATAAATAAAAATCTTTAAAAAAAAAAAGTGAGTGAGTGGGGAGGAGAGAGAGAAGCAGGCTCCCCACTGAGCAGGGAGCCCAATACGGGGCTCTATCCCAGGACCCCGGGATCACGACCCCAACGGAAGGCAGGCGCTGGACCAAGCAAGCCACCCAGCCGCCCCTCGACTCTGTCTAATGCCCAAAAGCTACCCTTACTATTAGGGGTGACTTCTTTAAAGCATATTCTAGAAATCATTCAAGGTATGGAAGAAAATTTATTTAGCTTTGTGAGGCTTTACTTTCACAATTAATACATACCCTTGGCACTGTAAGACCCTATTAAAGTTTCATAAATTGCCTCAGTAAGGTAAATATTTAGGTTGATTTTATGAGACTTTCAGACATTAAGTTTGAGAAAGTTAGTGGTTTCCAGAATTTGCACAGATGATAATTAAAACAGTAAAATAAAGAATAAGACTTTCTTAACACCCCTAATAACATAGTAAGTTGCAATTTCTAATCAAACACCTATTTCTACGTTATATTCATTTTGATCTCTTATTTTCCATTTTAAACTCTGGTATTTTCTTCTGAATATAGGTTACAAATAATCTTTTGTATTAACTCCCAGTTTTAATACCACAAAGTCACCTATTTTACCTTGACTATATTTTTATCATTTAGGGTAGGACACACTTTTTAAACTAGTTATACTCCAGTAACTTTGTGAATGAAAAAAAGGGGAAGAAAACGAAGAACAAATAATGGAGTCATTCTTTCACTGATCCTCATCCAATTTCAGGAAAATCAATTCCCAAAAGCAGCAATTCTAATAAATCTTTCCATGTCTAAAAAGAAACTGAAACAAAAGGGAAATCATGGGAAACCTGTGATAGTTTACTAGATATTGTGTGCTTTTAGTAGCTCAACACTGGTAATACTTGATAATCGAGAGTAAATTAATAGGCTAACATTTAGGGCGCCTGGGTGGCTCAGTTGGTTAAGCGACTGCCTTCGGCTCAGGTCATGATCCTGGAGTCCCG